AAGCTTAAGCGAGCGAGATGAGCGAGTGTACAACCGGACGCGAATCGAATTCAACGCGGACGCGCACTTATCAATCCATCCGCGCGCTAACTGGCAGCCAAGTATATTATTGTCGAGTGAAGGAGGGAGTAAGCAAAGGAAAAAAAGTAGAAATGTCACGATTGTCGAGAGGCGTTGCATCCTGAATTCAGCGAGCAAATATTTGTCCGAATCGCTGCACGCGCCACACCGCGCTCTACTTAATTCGCACGAGGCGTTCGGCAGCTGTGCAGTCTTTTACGGGCGCTACTATGCCTATGGATACGCTATGGATACAGTTTTTGTGCCTCTAAATGCTCATCGCAAACACTTTTAGTCTGCTCGAGCTAAGGGTAGCTCGAGCGTGACCCGGTGGCGGCGCGACGCAACTGCAGCTTCCAGCCAGCTAGTCGGTGTATATATTCATCCCCGTTTAAACCGCACACGGCTCGTGTTATTTTTCTCGAACGAGGATACTTGTACCGACACCGCTCGAAAGCACAAATGCATTAGAGAAAAATTTATACCTATGTTTAGTTGGTAGCAAAAATAGATTTTGCTGTCTTTTAGAAATGCGGGGATCAAAAGTTTTACAATGAGAAAAAGGGGGGACGCCAAAAAAAGTCTAAGCGACGGTAAAGGTTTTGGCATCGCCGAGAATGCAATGGACGCGTGAGATTTTAAAAAGCTTCATCAGTCTCAATGCTCCAGATTTTGGAAATCGAGAAAAAAATTGAAGGATTTTCGATTTCCCGTCTCTCTTCAAGGTTCACTCGGTCGGCGGGTCTAGCTACACACGCTTTATTTTCTTCTCTCCGACACGCCACGGCCCATTTTTGGAATGTTCATATTTTACGTCAGCGAATCGAAAGATTTCTCCTTTTTCAGTTCTCAGGCGCAAAAAAAGACTGCAGCACGTCGCATAGTCACTGGCAACGCGCGGAATGGACCAAAGCCGGTAACGATAAAAGTGCAACAGAGACGAAAAAAATGAGCTGCGAGTATTTCAAGCCCGCGGCATACATGCATGGTAAAAGCTTCAGCTAACTTGCCGAAAGTACAAAAGAAAGTCGAGAGCCACCGTCAATCGAATGGGTTAAAAACATGCACAATTGGCGTAATAATTGCTAGCGCGAAAAGAAAAGAGTACTCGCAAGTTGCTCGTAGCTCTGGTACGCGAGATTTTGTGTAGCGACGAATTACTGAAAAGCTCAATTACAAGCATTACTAATGCGTGCAGATCACAGGGTGTAGAAGGAATTTTTCGCGCAGAAAGAGATAGAGAAAAAGAGTGAGAGAGAGAGCACTCGGTCGGCAAAAGTGAAAGGTAGCTTAGGGCGTGCAAGTTCAGCCAATTAAAACTGACACAAAAGGGCGCGCAGATCGAAAGAATCAGCTAGCCGCGCGCGCATTCGTGACCTCTGTGCGCCGCTGTTGTGTGCCCTGCGTCGAGCGTGTCGTTTCATCTGGTATTTCGAGCGTAGCGGAAGAGAGAAAGAGAGAAAGAGTAATGAGCGCCCGTGCATACCCGCATATATATAGCAGCTTTATGCAGACGATATGAGCGAAACATTGCTGGAATATTTTTTTTCCCCTCTTAGTTGGAAAGCAGGAAAAGCTTTGGGAGCTGAAAAAATGCGTAGCAGACTGAAGCTGTCTTGTGTATACGTGCAGAGATTATTTTGCCAGGAAGCCAGGACGTTTTCTCCTGTATCTCCTCTCTCTCTCCCTCTCGTGCGTCACGCTCCTTTGAGATGTCATTGGACGATCAGTCAAGGATTTGCGAGCTCGTGTCGAGGCAGCTCCAATCGATTTACGAGCTTTTTTTCTCCAGCCTCGGATCAATTGCGATACAGAAACTGCGATAAAGTGAAAAACGCTCGCTTCGAACATACTTGATGCGCGCCGGGAGAGATCCTCATCTACACTGCAACATCCAACTCTGGCTTTCTCATCTCTGAAGCAACAACCCGATAAAGTAGTAGTAGTAGTAGTAGTGGTAGTAGTAGCAGTAGCAAAGAGTCAAGGATGGCCTCGCATGTACAGCAGGTTATAGTATACGTAACTTTGGGCTTGACAGTTTCATTTGCGCATAAGCAGGCTGCCATACGCATAATGCAATTTAATCACCCGCGGCCGTAACAAAAGTATCGAGCTCATGATCGCGTGCTTAGCCGAGCGCGCGGGCACAATGCGCCGCTCTGTATTTTCTCTCTGCAGCCTTCTCTCGTATATTTAACGTATACGAGCGGCGCACCGCTATAGAGCGCCCGTAATATCGTGCTCGATAAATCAAAAAGCTCTCGATGAAAATATCCTTGCCGCGCGATGCATCGAATTTATTTAACAAATGTTCCATTGAAAACAAATACGGGCGCAAAGCGTATAGCAGCAGTGGTGGCTGAGGCAGCGAATAACTCGACTCAGCGCGGTAGAACGAGGCCGGCCTATTTTTTCTTCTTTTTTTTTGCCTTTTTTTTCTTTTTTTTTCCATCCCATTCGGTCGAAGGACTAGCTTGCGGGGGAAAATGAGTCGCTCGCTCGCAGTTGTCGGAGGCTGTAGCGCAGATGCGAAAGAGCAAATATCCCAGCAAGAATGATAAATGAGCTATTGATTGGTCCCAAAGGTATTATGCTCGAGAGCGCGAGTAAGAGCACAGGTGCGCAAACTATGCGAGTAATGCTTGCTAAATAATGGTCCATGCGCTGGAGATACGTGTTTTTTTTGTTGTTTTTTTGCTTTTGCTTTTCGTCAAGAACTGAACTGTAGAACAGCAGCAGTAGCAGCGTTGAGGCCCGAGTACTACAGTACCTTATGCAGGCTACTTAACTCGAATACGGAGCTCGAGCAGGCATGAAACGAACTGGTATAATGTAGGTGTACGTAGCGTGAGCTTCTCTCCTTAGCCTCCCTCTACTCGCTTAATTTATGCTTAATTCATATTCGTGCTGAAATATTGCACGTTTCTTGGCCCGGAGCGAGAAGTGGTGCGCGCGCAATCGGACGACTCAATCGTCGATATAAGGAGCGCTCGGTACGCTTCGTCCTTATTCCAGCGCGCCAACTATTATTCTTTTTCTCGTCCTACGTGCGACGAGCTCGCGCGCGCGACAAAAAATTAATCTTCCTGTTATCCGAAATCCGAGTTACTGGGCAAATGTGTTGGGACGAGAGATTTCCTTTTTCGAGTCCGAAATGATGACGCAGACGTGTTCCAGTCTTATAAATAGCTCGACTCCTATACCTATAGCTATTGAATAAATGATAATCGACGCTGTCGGCTTCTCCCTCGGCGTGTATTTTTTATATTTATGTACATATATGTACACAAGTCAGATCTCGGCGGCTGACGAGAATATAAAAAAGAAGCAGAAGAAGAAGAAGAAGAAGAAGAAGGAAAAAAATTGAATGGCGAGGGCTGCGCGATTAGAGGCCGGGGGGTTACTCGGGAGCGTCGGCGTCGGATGAAAAATGTTTAAAGGGATGAAAAAGCTCGGCGCGCGCTGGCAGCAGAACGCACAGAATGTCGAGAGCTCGCCTGCAGAGATACAGCCGGAACAGGAGCGAAAACAAGATTTCACAGGCGCGCCGTGGAAAATTTTTTTCGCTCAGATTAAATTTGTATCGAGCGACCAGGTGCACGTATTTCGCGAGCGTAGCTTCACGCCAGTATCGCGAATATATATACGATATATACGGCCTGCTCGGGTGACTGAGGCTCGTTTCATGTGCACACGTATACACGCGCGCACGCGTACACACAGCCTACATCGCATGCCATGGTGTGTGTGTGTGTGTGTGTGTGTGTGTGTGTGTTTGTGTGTGAATGTGCGCACGCGAGAGTATATAGAAAATACAAACGCCTATTCGATATATAGAAGCACGCGTAGCGAGTGAGTTCACGGAGGGAGAAAAAGAGGCCGGCGGCCGCCGGGGCAGGCAAGGCACGAAGCAGTGCAGCAGCGGCGGCGGTGGCAGAAGCAGCAGCAGCAGCAACAGCAGTCGGTGCTGTGGTTGTTGGCACACGGGGGTTGGCGGGTGGCGCGCGGGGGACTCGCGGGGGACGGGAGTCGGGTCGGGAGCGCGCCTGCTCCGCGCGCACTGCGGCTACACCGTGACGCAGGGCGCAGCAGTCTTCTGCATCCGCGTCGCCCGGTCTACATAATATAAAGCGCGCCGCGCACACATGTGTAGCCCATGCATACGTACAGCAGCTCGTAGTGTATAGGCTGCCTCCTGACCCTGTCTATATACCCTATGTTAGGCCTACAGCTATCGAAGCGTAGCTCCCAAGCTGTATGTTCGAGCGTGGCACGAATCGTAGCTGGAAAAATCGACTCTGTACGAGCTTGCAAGTGTGAAATCAGAAAATGTGCGAGACGATGCGGATCCCCTTCCCGTGTAAACGAAAGATCCGATAAGGATTGTGTGTATGGGGGCTCGGCTCGGATCGCTCTTGCTTGCTTGGCCTCCGTCGCGCGCTTATATGCCGACGTGACGCCGAGATAGCTCGCTAAAGCCATATAGCTAGTGGCGAAAAATTTATATGAATTTAATGAGCGAGAAGAATCGTCTGTACGCATGATAAGGACATTAATCTTAGCTTATATAGAAATAGAAGGTCAAGCGGGTGTAAGAGTGCGAAGAAGAGTAGAAGGAAGCGATGCAACGAGAAAGGGAGCAGAAAGAGGGTAGAAGAGAAAGAGAGAGAGAGAGAGAATGCAAGGTGGGAGTGTGCGCGCCAAAAGTAAAGGTCGACACGCTCGTACATATAGATAGAGGCCGCGAGAGAGCTTGGGTTACGAGCCACATAGATATGTTTGCTGGTGGCACCGGCTCTCGTTGCGCGACCTCGACTCGCCACTCACCCCCATTGCTCTCCTGCGCCCCCATTTACTTGTATGTAAGCGCTATGTCTCTCTCTCTCTCTCTCCTTCTCTCTTACCCTCTTTCTGCTCCTTCGGCCTTCTTAGCTCTCTTTCTCTCTTTTGGCCCCCCGTTTCCTTCTGCTCTTCTTCTTCCTAATCTTCGGCACTCCTTCTCTACTACTTGTTCGACTCTCCTAGTCATTTTTCCTTATAATAATCAAATATATATTATTTATATATGCATATACTTTTTATAAATGTGATCATTATTTTTCAAGTGCGTAATAGCTAGAATATAAGATCTCTCGTCGTCGTCCTCGCAAAACTGGCGCTGTAGCTGCATGTCCCGTCTCAGTCAACGTTTGTTTTTATACATACTATTAAACGGAGCATCAGCTACCTCACGCTTTCGAGCTTTTTCCATATACAAACTTAAAGATTGTCAGCCGCTGAGTCAGGAGCTTTGAGCGGCCGCGTCGGGGCGCATTTAATACATATATTCACAGTCTTACATACGTATAAATACTGGGCGCCGAATGCCGAGAGAGGGCCGAGAGAGGGCCGAGAGGTGGCCCGAGAGTGTGTGGCTGGCTGCACGGCCCTTCTTTGCGCGGCATATCGCTTTAGGTGTGCAGTAATAGTCCATTGCTTCTTTGACGTGTGCGCGTCCACTGCCACGGGCTAGTCTCGCTCGCGAGATTGCGACCTCTCGAGCTTTTGAGCCGGCGCAGAGCAGCGAGTTGCGTGCCGAGCGCGCGTAATTTGCAATGGCGTCGTTAGGCCATGTCGTTGACAGCGGATGCCTTGGTCCCGTTGGTTCGCACATTTGTACCTTTGCGATCCTTATCTGCAAAAGAAAACAAGACAGAAAATTGCCCATTAGCATATATTGGCTGCCAGCTGCTCTCTGCGATAAAAAGCTCGCTCTCCACGCCAGGCAGAGGCGCAGAGACTGAGGATTTATTCACAGTATGCTTGTGTTTTATTCTCTCTGTGCTCAACAGTTCACTGCTCTCCGTGTGCGGACTGCGAGTGCATGTGCGCGTGCGTGCCTGCACTTGCCCTATACACGTATATATATTATATTCATGAATATTGCGTGTGTGTGTATGGGTGTACGCGTACAACGTTGCTGCTGTTAGCCGCCCGTTTATGTACATCGTGCGCTTGGCATCAAAAGTGTGAGTGTGCTAATGCTGTTAATGATACAAGGTATATATATACAGTCCTCGCAAGCTCACGAGCACACCGAGGGCTCGAAGGGCGCATTACGCAAAACGATGCGACAAAAAGATTTTACAAAAAACGGCAAAAATTCGTAGCTGTTAGAAATCTACCTATGCAAGCCACTGTCTGCATCGCTAGCTGCTTAATCGCTCAAAAATAGCAACAACAAAAAAGTCCGTATTACCTTGGAATTTAGGGAGAATTTTCTCACCTCCTAGATTCGCTTGCAAAGTCGGATCTGCAAATGAAAATTTTATGACAATGTTCAATTTCAGCTAAACGGATATCCATTAACTGTGTTTGCCCTTCAATAGATTAGCAGTGATAAGTCGACTCTCGTGATGAACGTCATGCTTGATATATTACTAATTGTGGAAAAATCCACAGAACATTATTGAAGAATTTGCAAAGATTAATGGACTCGTGACATACATGAAATGAACTCAACTTCAATGCGAATAAAATTTTTTTTCACAGAACACTTCCAATAATTTCAAACAAAAAGAAGCATAAAATATACGTGTTCAGGAATTCAGTGAAATTATGTAGAATATATATTATATTTTTGCAGATCGAAATAAGCTGGCAGGCTATCGTCATTCTTTAGCACACATAGCAGAGCAATGGTAACTTTGCTGAGCCAAAAACGTCATGCCTAATCGTCCTATCCGACAAGATCATTTGGAAGAGGCTTTGATTATCTTTTGGCGACATCGGCCATACTGGACTAAAGCTGTGTGTGCGAATCGAAATCAAAAGAAATCTGATTTGGACCCAAGCAGCACCGATGTTGAAAGCAGAAGAAAACGAAGATTGTATGACAAAAATATCGACAGTTCTATTTTGGTCGAGGACGAAGATTATGAAAATTCTCATCGCAAACAGTAAACAGATTCGTGAAAATATTCATTGCTAAGGTCAAATAGTTGCTTCTTTATCGTATATATGAAATGAAAACAGGACATATTATTATGGCAACATTCAATTTAGTACAAAGAACTTCATAATAAAAAAAACGTGACTGAAAAGTATTGCAGCAATTACTGCTGCAGCTGCTACCAATTTTAAGTAGAAAAAGTCATGGTAAGTTCAGCCATTCTACAAGACAAACTGAAATTACTTGACCAATAAAATTTATGGATGAAATTATGGAATGAAGTTTTATACGATTACAAATGTTCCTTATATAGTTGAACAAAGCAAAAATGTCATTAAAAATTGTATAAATATTAGAATTTATTAGAATTTAATTATAAATAAGTTCGAAAAATATTTATGTAAATTATGATATCATCATCAGAAAATCTTTATCAATTTGTGCTCGAATAAAATAATAAATTACTCAATCTTCGAAACAACATTTTGGCGAAAGGACGTAATCATGGATATAAATCAGATCATTTTGGCAAAAGAAGCTAAAGATAGTACAGTTTCTGACACAAAGGGCATATTTTTTTCGCTAAAAGATTTACGCAGTAAGATAGAGCATACTTATGACTACATCATTGTGCTATCAATGTCATTTAAAATTTTTATTTCGAGTGAGTTTTGTCTGACTCATGAGTGGCTCTCGTAGCTCGAGACAAGCTGCACGCGCAAAAGTAGCTCTTGAGCGCGAGCTATTTTCAGCATTTTATCCGAGCAAAGCTGCTACTTTGACGAAGTGATTATTTACGTTTTGCTTTTAGCGCAGCTGCTGCAGCGATTGCTCATCGCGAAATATACGATCGATTCGACTACCAGGCTAAATTGCTAAGTTGCAATAAGCCATTTACAAATTGTATCAACGAGCGTTAGGCACAGTGTACGTTACGGATCAAGAATTTTCCTCGCACATATTGAGAGCCGCCTTCGCGCGTCGAATATAGTTTCGAAATTAATTTGGCAACCTAGTTTACAGCGTTCGAGAATATTTCTCCATAAAAAAAATGTTCATTTGCCAAGCGTGCAATACAACATATTCAATTTTTTGTATTATAGTTAGCTGTAAAAATAGCAATTGCCTAGTTCAATTGGATAAATCAATAAATACTCTTTTTACTATGAAATCGATAAGCTTATATTAATTACGCCTTCGTGAAGAAAAAATAGGTTCTCACAAATAATATGAATAAAAAGTATTCTACACACATATTTATGTGTGTGAACGACTTACAAGGCATAAAGAGAGCTGTATTTTTCTGCCGGTATACGCTTTCCACTCACAAAAGGATATACTCTGTAACCTTTGCTCTCTTGTGAAGGATTGGAAAACGGAGAAAATATGAAAAGAAGTTTTCATAGTTTGCCTTTTTTAAAGAAAGTCTCAAAAAAAGTTTTCAGGATGTTGCTCTATAGAAGTTTGTTCCCGAGAAACTCACATGATTCACTCGTTTAAAGTGTGTAAAAAATCTGTTTACAATTTGCTACTTCACAAATCAATAAAATGATGTATAAAATGTTGTACGAATTTAATAATTCGTATAATAGACAGTCAGTTAATTAGTTTTTATTTTGTTGTTAATTGCTTCGATATATCTTGATACGACAATTGATACGACAGGTAGTACATATGAAAAAGTTATTTCATTCTTAACAAACACCCCTCTAGCATATTATAACCGCAAGTAATAATTAATAATTCAAGTGGGAACCGTAGTATAAAAACGAACTTGTCAAATTCAAAATAAATTTTATGAAATTTTACTCTATTTTGCATTTAAAACAGTTATCAAATTAAATTATGAGTTAATAGAATTGTAATGGAGCTATCGTTTTTATAGTGTTTATTTACAAGAGTACAGGGCGAAGTTATGATAAAAACTGAAGGTCATTGCAATTTTTGTAGAAAGTAAAGTACAGTTTCGGTATGTCAGCAAAAAATCTAATGAAACATAAAATTAGTGTAAGTAGAATTCATAATCGAATTATTTGTGCCATTTGTTTGTTTCAATGCCGAAATGCAATCAATTCAATTGATTAATTTTTTAACTTGATTAGACGATTGTAAATTTCAGGGATATAAAGACGTATATTTACATATATTTTTCATTCGTGGATAAGACTGATCTTCAGTTTTCAAAGCACTTGAAATCTCTTGCATGCAAGTTATATTTAAAACTATCAATACAAAAAATTAGAAATAAAAAACTAGTCAGTACTATTCAGAATACCATATGACCTCTGCATTACACCTTTCATTAGAAAATATTTTATTTCAATGATAAATATTTCGAATCCTTTTTGTGTTAAGGGTTTTAAAATACCTAAATACACATTTTAATTTTCAAAAATACTTTCGAAAGGTTTTAAAGTTTTATTAAAAACAGATGAATTCCAGCTTTTTGTCATAAATTTCAAGTAATTTGAAAATAAAGATTCAGTCTCAGTATGCTTTGTGTCAAAGTGAATATTTGTTGGCTATTTCAATTGCAATAATGAAGGTACACTCGTATCAGTGCAAGTGTTGGACGATAAAAGTATCGTTTGGTAATGTTTATACTTTTCGTACCATCCCGCTATTCGAGCAGTATTAAAACCTATTCCATGTTGATCGAGCACATTGTACTTGTATTATTTTTTTGCTCAGCAGTCATATCAGTTGCAGTAGCGCTGAGCCTTGTCCCGAAGAGAGATCGTTAAACCGGGTCCCCTTTTTCTACGTACGTAAGTAAGAAAAACAAGAGATATGATTGGATGAAGCAAAACTAATAAATAAAATAAAGCCATGATTTATACTAAAAAAAGTCTATATCATGTCTAATTAAACTGATATAGGCCGAAGACGTTTAATGTCAATAGAGCTGGATAAGGTGTTGTAATGGGTATTATAATAAACGTTGTAAAGTTGTAGGATACGAGAAACGACTTACCCGTCTTGGAAGCAAATGGGTCCTTGGGGTGATTGGGCTTCATGGCGTTGGTCCGCTGATTGCGGAGGGGAAGCGCGCCAGGCTGGGCGGCCGGGGGGCCGCCGAAACCGGCCGATCCGGGGCCGTGGCCGCCGGGCGGGCCGGTTCCGGGGCCCATGCCGCCTGAGCCGGGCACCGGTGGCTGGCCGGGCGGTCGAGGTACCCGAGGTTGCTCCACCGGGAGGACTCGGCGTCTCTTCTTCGGGAGCTTGGCTCGCGCCTGCGTGTGACTGTAATACATCGCAAAGTTGCTGACGATCACGGGCACCGGCAGGGCGATCGTGAGCACACCAGCCAGGGCGCACAATGCGCCGACAAACATGCCGATGTAGGTTTTGGGAACCATGTCGCCGTAACCGACCGTGGTCATCGTGACCAGGGCCCACCATAAACCGAGCGGTATGCTCTTGAAGTCGTTTTTCGGATTGTACTGGATGCGCTCTGCGTAATAGACCAGACTCGCGAAGATGACGATGCCGAGGATGAGGAAGAACACGAGGAGCGTCAGCTCCTTGGCCGAGGCCCGGAACGTTTGGATGAGGATTTTAAGGCCACTCGAATGTCGCGTCAACTTGAACAGTCTCATGATCCTGATGATGCTGAAGAACTCGAGGATGTCGGCGTTCTCGAGGTGCGAGGCGAAGCGCTGCAGCGCCAGGTCGATGTAGAAGCTCATCGTGGCTATCATGTCGATGATGTTGACCGAGCTCTTGATGAACTGCAGCAAATTCGGGCTGGCCGTGATCCTGCAGAGGAACTCGATGCTGAACCAGAAGTTGCACAGGCACTCGATGTAGAAGAATGCGTCGTGGGCGTTGGTCAGCGTCCGGTCAAAGTGCCACGAGTCCGTGCCGTTGTTGCTCGGCTGCGAGGACTTGTCGGCGATCACCGGCACCCGCATGTCCGGGTGGGTCTTCAGGCAGAACGACATGATGCTCACGCAGATGAAGAACACCGAGATGACCCCGACGACCTGCGAGCACAAACCCAGTGGTCCCTTTTAAATCGGATCCACTCCAGCCTCTCGCGGACTCTTGGCCTAGCCTCAGTGGCACGACAGGGCGTACTTTAGGCATCCTCTCGATTCGCTCTCTCTCTCTCTCGAGTTTCGAGAGCTTTTTTCGAGCCGATCGATGCTGCTTGCGAATCAGGATAATGGCTACCCCCTCTCGTGCGACTGTTAACTCATACCAATGCTTGTGCCCGTGTGACTCGTGTTCTTTTATTTTCGTGTCGCACACGTGAATAAATATGCGTGTTCTTGTCCGTGTGTATAATATATAGGTAAAAGCAATATGCATGTTGCAGGTTCGCGTAGACGTGCGATCGAACTAGAAGCATTCATAAAGCGAATCTACGTTTCGTGTGTGCGTGTGAGTATGTTTTTTTATAATCAAACTATGACATCTACGTTCGTGTGCGTGGGTGAATGCCATTGCATGTGCATATGATCGTGTTGAATATTTATTACATATGTGCACCCGTTCGAGTTAAATTTTGCTACTACTGGAATTGTGACAGCAGCGTAGTAGAGGCTTTGTTTGTATCAACTAATGTACGATTGTTATTATTGATGCACAGGCAAAACACGGGAACAACTCATTTTACGCTAGTCTTGCAATTCTAACAGTAGCAGATTAAAACCCGAACGAAAGTACTAAGAGAACGAGAGACAAACAAAAGTTGAGCGCGGAAAAACGGCGCACTTGCGTTTACCAGTACGCAATTTACTATATAGCTTTTCGTGTTCAACGACTCCTCTCTCGCTCTCACCTATGTTTTATTTTTTATTATATTATGCTCAAAGTTTGCTTTTTTGCCGCCTGCTGCAAAAAACTTTATGATCAATAACAAATTACATGGATATGTATGTGTGTAGGCGAGAATATACTAATGCGAATGCCCACGTTTAAACTGAAGGCGCTATACAGCACATTTACTCGGAATCACAGTGAGCTTTGCTATGGCATTTTCATGAGTGCCCTATAGAGAGTTTACAAATGTTTTGTATGTTGTGTGTGTTTGTATTGTTCTTATGCATGTAAGGTTACTTATTCTATAGTGAAATATAGCAAATTACACAAACAAAATTCACGAATGATTTTTGTAGTTGCATAAATATATGAATGACTGCAATGTGGTTCAAGTTTGTACACGATCCATCAATTTGTTCTAATTGATAGAGAATTTTTATACTACTATTTTAAACTCAACGTTTTGTGCAATTAAAAAAAGTGCCGGTTTTAAGTTAGTTTTACTTGCTATAGAGACCTTTTCAATCATTTTTAGAAGCTACTTTATTTAAAATACTATCTTTTCTAGCCTTTGTTACAAATTTCTGTTACTCAGAAAAAATTAATGAATCGATTGTTTCATTTGGGAAAAAAATTCAAGCATACGAAATATATCTACATGAATTTTTTTACATCTTGTTTCAATGCTTATTGCGAACAAATTTTTGTGCAAACAATTTAAAATAAATTTAAGACAAAATTGTAAACTATAAATGATGCAATATTTAAAATGATTTGATTGTTTAAAATAATAGTACTCGTTTTCTCGTAAATCTAACGTATTCTATTATCAATGTGAGTTTGAATAAAGTTGACGTTTTATCAAATTTCGCTAGATATTGCAGTTTGACTCAGTTAATTATTAGTTACGTAAAATATATATAAAATTTAATAAAACTACATAAAAAATTAAAATTTACACTCATTCAATAGATAAAAAGTTTTTGATTTAAAGACGATACATCTTATTTTAACTATATGAAAAATTGAGAATGATACGATAAATATTATTAAAATTATCTATTAATGAGGTAGAAAATAACTAAGTAAACAAATAAATTTTAAAAATCTACGATAATTAGATAAATAACATTGATATAATCTATACAAATATTAAAATTTTTAATTTTTAACGAAAAATTTATAATTACGATACCGTGCCTCTGTTCGAGCAAATCAACTATTGAGATGCATACATTATATACAGAGGAGAGCTTTTATTCAAGTATAAACATATTTTTAATTTATCAAAATTTTTTTATGATAATTTTGATATTATTCAATGGTGATATTAGTAGTTGACAGGTTTTGCACTCGTTTAGGATGATCGATACAGACCTTAGCAGGAGTTGAGGAGTAAGGTTCATCGAAAAGGGACCACATTTTCGGCTTGAGCTTCTGCCATCGAGTCAGCCGATTCTTGTAGTACGCTTCCTCGAATCCAAATTTGCGAGCAATTTCTTCATCACTCGGCTTCTCCGTGTCCAGATCCAGCCTGTCCAAGACGGTCAATGTCTCTTGTGTGTCTCGATGCTGCGCTTGCATTAATAATCCGATTTTTATCCATTTTCATAATTAGTTGATTTTTATTAATTCAAAAGCATTTATTATTAATCTAAGTATACCAATCTAAAATAACTTTATTCTTCTATTTTCATTTATAAAAAATAAACTAATTCTTTATTTGTTTTAATTTTAACTTGGCGCACTCTCTGAGGAATAACTTGTAAAATTTAATATTTTTAAAAATGTTAGGACCTAATGAAGTTGATGCAATTGCGCGTTGCAAATTATATATTGATCGATGTTGTCGCAAGTTATAAAACCAAGAAAAAATTATATAATCATGATTGTATGTATGCTCTGTAATGATCTAACATCATTTACATCCAACACTACGAGTAATTTCTGGTTTTTGTCATTTTCACGAATTAATCTAGGGCAAATGCTATTCTAAAATTAAAAAGGCATTGAGTTAAATCTTGAGCTGTGACATATTTCTATTAATGTATTAGGCGTACTTTTGAAAAGAACTTATAACAGTATTATATCGATGATACTTAACATTTTTACTCGTAATTAGACAAAAAATGAAATATTCAACGAATAAGTCCTTCTCAAGTACGTATAGTGCTTCTTAATTAAACGAATATTTATGGCCAAACTTAATAAAAAGTGATTTTTAGCGGTAAAAAGTTTTTTCATTTAGTTCAAGTTTAAAAATGAGTAGTAAAAACTTGGATCGAAAGTCACTTATGTTTTTAATACTTATTTTCTCAGTGGTCAAGAAAAAATCATTAGATACAATTAAAAGATATTAAAAAAGTATAATTGTGTTGAAATTCCTCCAAGTAAAACTAAAATTTCGAATTGCGGAATAAATATATCTTGATTTATGTACATGAATTTTAATTAGAGAACACGTGAAATAGTTGACTAAAAAGAAGTCAACAAAATAAAGGGAAAATAAAAAGGAAATAACTATTGATTAGAAGTTACTTACATTACTATGTACAGACTCAGCTGAAATTCGAAACTATAATACAATATTTGAGGAGCCTAGTTCTACATTTCATTCGAGGTTGTATTTCTTCATGGGACATAGTGTAAATGAATAAGGAAAATTGAAGCTGTGACACAAAATAATTATTGACTAGACCTACTTGACTCGTGTAGTAAGGTATCTCAATAGAGAACAGACCTGATGTAATTTTTAATAAATTGAGCGTGAAAGAAATTCCTATGAAAGTATACCACATTGATTTTTCTTAGAATGAAAACTTTGAGCGTGTATATCAATAAAAATAAATATTAGTTTCAAGAGTTCCAAATTTTTCGAACCTGAGTTGTGTTTGATGAATATCGTATGGCATCTCTTTAATTACGTGTTATGGAGTAAACATTTGTACAGATTCTATAACATTGTCGAACTATTTGTTGAATGACCAATGGTTACGGAAAGAGTAAACTGAATAGTATGCCTGACGATTAAATACGAAAAAGAGAAAAATAGGAAAGAAAATAGTGCACTGTATCAAAGTGCGCAGTTGACGCGATGAAGCGTTCAAAGTTTATGTAATTAAGAGTATAAAAAACATTACTCAACTTTGAAAAAGCTAAAGTTATTGCCAACGTTTATTTGAGGGGATTTTATCATCTTACGATGACGATAATTGTATTAACTCAAAATATTTTAAGTTTATAAAAAAGTTTAGATTTCTCTAAGATGAAAAACAACATTATAAACTTTAAATAGGAACTTTTCAGTTTTATATATTTTTTCAAGCTTAAATATTGACTTTACTCTTACTTTAGCCTGGTAATAATAAGTATAAAGCCTTTTTTTCTTTGGTCTAGTTTTTATCCCTTTAAATCCGTAAATTATAACCGGATACATTCTAAATTTACTTAAAAATCTTTTCGTATTCTTTTCAAAAACTCGGTTTCCAGATGTCTTGCTTAAAATTAGTGTAATTGTCAGGTAAATTTGATAGTAAAGGATACGTAAATAAAATCCTATAAAGCTACATCAGAGAGCTAACATAACTTAATTACTTGCACCTAATGCACTACGATGAGTTATATACCCAAGAGTAATAGATTCGCGACTTTGTACTCGAGTAGCGAGTTGATGTTTAATCAAAATTTTTATTATATTCATGTGAATTATGCGCCAATTAAACGGCTCAGTGAATTTAAAATTATTTTCATTAAATTAGACATGTGTATCGGCAAGCAAATAGCGGCCGATGGCTATTAACGTTTACCGCGCAAATGTAAAAGCAGAACGGGCCTCGGGGTCCATCTTAATTCAAATGAAGATTCTTGCGTATAAACTGCGGTGCGGAGAAAAATGTGAATTCGGATGTAAGGACGTTACAGTGTGCGAGTCTAGTTAGAAAATGAGCAATTGGACTAGCAACAACGAGGACACGTAGCCTACGACTAGAGCTTCTAATAACGCTTTAAAGAGCAACAAAGCTATTGTAAAGTCGATGTGTACTCTCGCAACTCCTTGTATTCGTGAAGTGAAAAAGGGAGGAGAGAAGCGAGCTAGCGAGCGAGAAGTGCTTGCTCGCTGAACAAACGCGAAAGGCTAACTTAGCAAAATATAACCTACCAGTGTCTTTGTGTTATTCTATTCTGTAAAAAGCTACCATTTAGGTAGTAAGAAAAAATAATTGTACCATTCAAAGAGTAACAAAAACTTGGACGAAACCGTATTTAAATGCAATTTTTTATTTACGTGACTTTGTTTTGTGTAACTAGAAAGTTAATTTAATTTATTCCATAGTCACGTTTACCTACGCTCATAAAGCTCATGGAAGTTATAAATTTACAAGGCTTACTAAAGCTAGCGCTACTGAAAGTTTATCGATTATTCATAAATTTTAAGCCCCATATAATCGATCTTCAGTAGTAAAGCTTACAAAATTATCATTAGTGATGCATTTTTAATTGTAGAGCTGAGTATAGAGAAGAAAAATTATATACAGGTATACTAAAACTCATGAATTCCTCATTTGACTCGTTGCAATTATCCGGAAAAGACAACTAAGAACAGATGAATCGAAAAAAATATATTCGCTCTCATAATAATTTTCAGATCTACGATGTGTGTCGAAAAAGGTTTGCTTCATGCTAACTTACACACTTTATGTTTGGCTGTATGTGGTGTGCATAACTCTGCGTTAGATAAGTAAGTTTTCGTCCCATCGAAGCGCAGACTGCACTAGCTCAACTTTTCTCTTCTTACTACTTCTTTTCTCAAAGAGAATTGAATTTCCATTATGGATTTTTCAAGTTTTTCTTTCACCTCATGAAAAACCTTATGCATTACAAGCTCATCAATTCACATACCTGATCTAATTTTTTTCTTCGCATGTACCTACTAGCAGCCGTTGTAAAATTTTATTGGTTTTCAGCGACAATTTTGGAATATGGCAAAAGTTAGTATTTATCTATAATGAATGTATGCGTAGAGAAATGAAAGATAAGCCATGTAATGAAAAAACGAATTAGGACCTCGTCTGATGATTAAAATGTCTAACAAGAGTAAGATCAAATTAAAATACGCTTCATAAGTGTAAAAAGATAGAGATAGTTAAATCATTTTCACGTCGATGTGAACAAAATAATCAGTGCCATTCTGGAATGAAGTAATTGACAGGCAGCGCAACTTTATTTGTAAAATTATTTTCAAACCGTAATTGGGAAGCGAGTTGATAAAGAAAGTCTCGCTTATTTATGTCTAAAATACATCGTTTTTTTTATCGAAGAGCGTTTCGTTGAATCCATAAGAATTCGTTTCATAAACTCGACGGCCTTAATAGGTCGTTCCGTAATGATATAAACGTTGTTATAACGACGAAGACGACGAAGACGATGGCGCAGGCGACGCTCATCAGATGACGCAGAAAGTCGGGCTTTTGTAAAGTACACTGTCATCCAGCGTGTGCTCGTGTGGAGATAAGCTCTCGAGATGCTTTGGATAGCAATAACTCTTCGGGCTGAATTTAATTACTTAGCGTAGCTTCGGGGCTAATGCAATTCATAGCAGCGACGTAGCGCGCGCAAAGACAAGCAAATAAGTATAGAGAAAAGGAATATGAGCTCATGTACCTGAGTGTAAGTCATCCAGCAGCAGGGCTCTACCTGATTCGAGTCGAGGCCCCAAAAGTCGAGCTCTTCCTCGAAGAGCGGCCCGCAAACGTCGGTGGGGTAATGCAGCTTGCCAGTTCGGTAGTAATTGAGCACTTGGGCGAAGACTCCCGGGTGCCGGTCGAAGAAATACTCATTGAGGACCGGATCGTAGCTACTCAGCGCCTCGGTTAGACGCGACAGACGGGTAGCCGGAATTTTCTTCAACGTAGCCCTGTACGTTTCGTGTCGTACCCCACCGACGTTCAGTACGACACGATTTTCCGAATCAATGTTTAGCAGATTCATCTTTTAAGTTTGCTGCCGCTGTTGCTGTTGCACCGGCGCCTGGTTCTGCTACCGTTTCTCTTGCTGATCGGTTAAGCCCCTTGTCAACACAACATTGATGCATGAACCAACCGCTTTTTTTGACTTCGCTTGCCTCGCCACCTGCCCCTGAAAATTATTCTATGCGTTAAATTTTATTCGTTCAATCGTTCAGATATATTTTATAATTCTCGTTTTTCTGTGGAATATCAAGTTTTCGTCAACTCACCACCCAACTTTGAACAATAAACATATTTTACCTTTGTATTTCATTGTACAATATCGAATTATTCTTTTATAAGTATTGATTACTTCGATTTGATAGATCGAGTATAGTTCAAGTAAATTAGAAATTTGATACCAGTACATTCATAGTGTTACGGTGTTGTTAAAATCAATACAAGATTTTATCATTTTTCTCGATTTTTTTTCGGAGAATTTTTGTAGAGCCTAATAAAATGCTCTTACACGAGTTCCAAATAAATTTTAAAAAACATTTCATTTTGAAATCAATTTAGATGTTGAAAACATGTTCATCTTTACAGAATCTTTGATTAAAATCAATTCTTTTGTTATTGGTTCGTTTTTATTTCTACAGTATTGAAATACACTTATGCATACGTCTATTGCCGTAAAGTTTGATAAAGAGTTTTTTTGTTATATCTTTTCACAAGTTACACTCACCCAAGCGATATTTTATGGATTCTTTAAACATCATAATATAAATATTAAGTGGCTATTCTTTACACCTTGTGTAAGTTAAATTTAATTAAGACGGATATAGTTTCTTTATTATCCCAAAATATTATGAGTACTTAATAAAATTTGACTAAGCTACTATTTATATTCTTGCGCGAAATAAATCGATACCTACACTTCTGAAATGAAGAGCACTCGTGAAAGGCTTTAATTGCCTCTCAGAAAAATTGAAATTAATCAATGTTATCGGGTAAGTAAAGTTCAAGCTCGGGGTCTTACGAAACAATGAATAACCAATTAATTAATCGCATCATACATTTTCTGAATGATCAAAGACATTTTAAAAATTAGCTACTTACTTCTAATTAACACTATTAATTTTTCTATAATATCATACGTATATTCAATATGTTATTATCAAAACGATTAATTAATCGCTTAAGAGCTCACACGGAACTTTGAATTTGAAAATTTTGTAAAATTGTTTGTATAGCAGCTAATTCATAAAGTAACTAAATAATAATTGAAGGCATTTCGATAATTTGGGACTTATCATATTTAACATAGTTGAGAGGAAAAATAAAAATTTTGTAATTCAGTGGTTTTGCGTGTTTTAGTAAAAGCACTAAAAGCAATGAAATGTAAGAAAAATACCTAAGCTTAGTAGGTAAAATTATTCCCTTAGCAAGTTTCGTTTTTGAAGTTTGAAATATTTCTTCCGTTTTTTTTTTCGTGTGTCTTTGAGCTTTTTTATACAAAGAGCAGTTAATGTTGATTTTGTTTCCTTGGAAGTATCTGTGTTCGAAGGAAAAATTAGGGCAATATCGAAAAAAATAAACACTGGCTTTTAAATTATATCTCGACCACAATATGAACACGTCCCCGCAAGCAGGTATATCTACGAAAAAGAAAGAGAGAAGTATAGAAATCAGGTCATCTTTTGGTTCTGTGTTCATTTCAAGTTAAGATTTACATTGAGGGCAAAGAACAATGATGACAACAATGTCGATAGCAAGCCTATTTACAGTTACAATATGTAAGAAATTTTATTTATGCATTTTTCACGATTACTAAGAGTAGAAATGTACTGCCTAATTTCTGAAAGAAAAGTGTCCATTGCCTATGACAATGTAATTTTGTTTGGACGTTGTTACAGATATAAAATAATGAAATAAGATCTTGCAGTACAAAATTTTCCAGTTTTCGCCTTTTATGCACTTTTATTCATCACTCAATGCCCAATGCGATGCATAATATTAAATTTAGATAACACTAGTTTTCAGTTTTTCAGACGGGTGCACATATGACTTTTCAAAAAAATTTACAATGTTCCATTTGTGACAGACATTTTTGTCACGTACTTTTTTGAACTCATTTCTGACCATCCCATTACTTTTTAGCCTGACTTTGTCATATTGTTATTACATCAAACAAGTTCTAAAGTTATCAATATCAAGTTTCAGAGGGTAGTGCTTTTTTATGAATAATTGAAATACGTTTAAATATTTAGGTATTATATTGCATAGTTTGACATGTGGTGAATTTCAATTAATCTGATATTTCATCACAGTTTTCTCTTCATACCCCTGATGTAGGTTACTTGTTCAATAAGAAAAGACACTTGATATACAGGGCGTTATAGATATGTGTTGTACCTCGGGCCAACACGAGCCATATTGGGTACGTACCCCTCAGCTTGATTCTCCCGCGGAAACAGCTGCGAAAATCATTACACATATCGAAATCTAGGATAGTAAAGTACAACCCGTCGGTTTCATATTCAGTGGATATAGCTCTAGAAGTCGGACGCTTGCAATGAAATTAATACGAGTGACGTGTCCTTATCGTCTCATATATATAAATTATATTTACCGAACAAAAATGTTACGTAGTTTTTTTGTTTAATAGGTACTTGATATTAAAAATTACTTTCTTGTAAACAAATTTATCACTAACGCTGTGAATGTATGGTATTTAAGTTGATAATATTTAAAATAGTCTATTTAATAAAGTATGTGAAAAATTTAATCAACCCAACTATAAAAAAACTTTCATATTTTCTAAAGATTATTTTTTCCGTTTCTAATATTTCTAAATCTTCTATACAGTCATTTTTCTAAGTACTCAACTATGTATTTATCTTAATAGTAATAATAAGAAAGAAACAGGGTGAAATTATGAATATTTACAGAATATGGACCTTGTGCTTCACTCCAAATTAAGTAATTAACCTGTGTTATTTAAACTTCATTTTAAAAATATTCATTGTCACAAAACCTCGAGGAAATGACGAAGCAAGCCTAAGAATGAAAATTTCAATCCTGCTTTTTGATGCAGTAACTTTTATTTTTATATACTTTAAGTCGACGTATAACTTTTTAGAGAAATATTCAGAAGTCTCAGAAAACGGGATTGAAACTTTTTTTTCGCCAGCTTCGCAATCTCCATGAGTCTGATTGAGTCTAAGCGAATGAAAAAAGAGAAATTTTTAGGATTCAATCCATTCAAGATCATTCAATAAAATAATTGAAGCTGATTTCCCAAATCACTTTTAGACATAGGTTTCACTATTGATTCTACAGGCATTTATGATAAAGTTTTAGTCTCTTGAATAAAATATTCAAGAGAATGTTGAACTCATTTTTATATAATATTAATGCGCATGCGGTCATTTCATCATATAATGGCATATTTTATAAAGGCGTGCTTGAATATTCCAACGAGCATTTACTAACGCGATCGAATTTACAATATTTGAGTTGTAAAACGTGTTTATATTTTCCGAGTGAAAAAACTCATGTAAAACTGAGCACTAGAATATTTTTATTAAAACTAATAAAAAAATTCCAAGAGTCTTGCTGGGAATGAAAAGCTCGAACACAAGTTAGAACGTAAAACTCTTGATATAACTTGGGACTAAAAAAAGAAAAAGAAGAGAAAAGGGTCTGGTGCAGGAAAAGACAAAGAAGTCTAGCTACATCGAGTAACAAAGAGTTACAAGAGAGTTGCAGTGGCTGCACATGAAAACATTATTGCCATACATATTTGACGAGCGATTCATACGTAAAGGCATGAATTTAGGTCGGTGACAAATGAAAATGAAGCATGTCCATTGACATTTTGACGGTTGCAAGGATTATATTGATATCGAAGAGCGAGGTGCGTATAGGCCAAATGCTATCGAAGTCGAAGCTTCAGCCACGGCTGTTAAGCGGTATAAAGAGACTGATTTTTTTGATTACTATTATATAGTGCTATTATATAGTTGCCAGTGCAATGTTTCAAGCGTGATCAATACCGGCTTCTATATACGCAGCTCGGTCAAGCACCCCATTGCAACGGCTGGAGCGAAGTTCGTGTGGGTGGTAGCTGGTTTGTCGTCTTGAAAAGTCTTGCGAGACCGTAAATTCGATCCAAGTGTAAGTGGACGAGTCGCTAGTTCCACTGTTATGTATGCACACTTGCCTAGAGCACGACAAATGCTAAGTGGAGTAGGACAAAGCGTCATTACAGAGGCAGTATGCCGCTCGTCGTAGCCGCCTCGAAGCAACTCCTTGACGCGAGCGTGCAGAGAGCGTAACATTATTCATGTATGAGGATGAAGTAGAATGGGAGCTTGCAGAGCGACGAGCCGACAATATGAATCGACAAATCGACTTTCTCTATCAGTCCGCGAGCCGAACAGCACAGGTGTGCAGTGAAAAAAGTGCGCCTACGCGCTTTGCTGCTGCTACCGCTGACACCCAGACAAAGCAGCGCATTACAAAATTCATGCCACGAATGTGCCACAAAGTGGCAAATGGTTGAGTAGTCGGAAAGACGGTCGTCGAACCCACCGTGTTGAAGCCTATCTCGACCAAGAGTAAAAGCCCGCTGACGGCATCCCTTGTGAGCTTGCACAGCTGCCGGTTCATGTTGTCAGTGTCGGCTGAACCGGCATGCTCGATGCAGAAACTACTCCTGCATTGCCATTACTCCTATTCTGACGAATGTGTTTCGATCAACGTCGCCGTGCGAAAAAGCGACGAAACGAACTCTTGAACGATATCGCCGATTGATATCACTGCTCGAAGCACACTTCACTTACTTTACTGGCAAAGGACGCACTGGCATTCGCTGCCCATCTCGTAATCACCCGTGCCTTTGGCAAGCAACTCTGTCGCACGCGCGATCGGCACTTTTCTGGACCCGCGCGCGCGTTCGACTTTCGCGCGACTTTATCGTCTCTAGAATGGACCTAGGCGACACGACGGCGTTTCAGCACTAACTGTCCGCCACTGATGCTGCTAGATGCTGCTGATGCTTCAGCGCTCGCTCGGCTTGGCTCGGTTCGACTGCCTGACCCCTTGGAGGGTCATGCGCATGCGCTGGACCCTCTGCAACACATATAGTTGTAGTGGCAGCGCACCGCTGAACAACTGACTGCACACACAGTGCACAGTGCACACACTAGAAACCAACATAGGCGCTCGCGCGCGCTACACACGCACACACACACACCGCGAACTTTACTATCTTTATCCGCTATCACTCGGCGTTCGGCGCAACCCCGACCACCCTCTCGCTTTCATCGTGGCAACCCGAGCGCCGCGTCGATCTTATAGTCTCCCAAGCTTTATTCTGACGCCATTCAGCTTTACTCGGCTCTATGTTGTCCTTTCTTCGTCTGTTTCTGCCATACGACGCAGACACGTCTCTGTGCCATAAAAACATTTTCTACATTCATCATGAAAATTCGCATTTCCAGTCCAACTATGATGTTTTTCATCTTACAAGCTCGCTGCATGCTTAATAAATTTGTAATGAATGAAACGTACCTCTTGAACGTCACTTGAATTATTTAACATTATTTTCAGCATTTTTTCATAACGTACATAGCTGATTTCTAATTGTTTTCAATGCTTACTATAGTCTGTAAATACGCTCTAATAATTATTTTTAAACAAATTTTGATTTACTTCGTGTACTTACTTACTCGGGAAACCATTTGAAATTTTTAGACCTAGTTTTAAAATGATAAATTATTTAATACTAAATTACATGAAATGTAAATATTTGAGCAAGTATTTAATAATTACAACAATTTATCAACTGATTCATTGATAAATGAGAATTCAACAATACTAAAAAGAAAAACATGATAGGTAGAAAGTTAACATAATTTCACCCGAGTTTCTAGCTGTTCTGAATGTAGGCATAACATTTTGTGACAAAAATTAATTAAGAAAATGCTAAAGTAAAAATTAACGTTTCATTCTGATTTGTGGAAATAAATATCTCAATGAAGCACTTTTTTAAAATGCTTCAGATGAATCATAAGGAAAATATTTAGTTCAAACCATAAACCATAAAGATCAAAGATTTCAATTTTGCCTTAACTTCGGTATATTCTGAATATTAAAAAATGGAAATTGATTGATGTTTCGATAAATTCATAAGTATATATAATTATAGAGGTGAGTCTTATAAATGTCACGCGAGGGCCAGTACGAAACTCTAAATGGCATGATAATAGTTGTAAAAAACTAAAGCTCAGATTTGCGTGGAAAACATATATATAAAACTTTTTAAATTTAACGTTTGCAAGTAAAATTCAAAATTATTATACATTTTATTTTTCATTTCACTGCCCGTGAAATGAAAGCAGTGTAAGTAGATCGAAATGAATTTTAAAAACCAAAAAAGTGCATACATATGAGTGTATGGTTAGAATAGTAGGCCATGCACGACAGATTTTTCCCTTGAGGAAACGTCGAATAATAAGAGACTTTTGCTGGGTCGATGAGTTGGGGCGCTTGCGCCTGTTATCGTGTAAATTCATATCTAAAAGTGTGCATATCATTATCGTCTTTGAATTTTTGTCGAATTTTCAAAACTCGTTTTGAAAAATATATGCAATTTTTCATTTTCAAAAGCCAATGATCTTCTGATACTAATAATTTGTACCATTTTTATAATGGACAGTTGTTTCAATCCAGCTTATACGTCTTAAACTTGAAAACGTTGTAATTATTAAATTTTAATTTTTATATTTGCTGTCATTAAAATTTATTTAAATGGAATACTAATCAACATTTTTTAACCCGTTTTTTGAGATTTCTACTTGATTTTTTTTTAATTAATAAACGAGCTTTTGCTTTGTAATTATTTTTGCCTAAATGAAGTGACTTTTTAAAAATTTATTACTTAATTCTTAGAAAATGTATCGATGCAACACGCACGATGAAATTAAGTGGGTTTAATAACATTTTTAGCTCAACTACATCGATTTAACAGTCATTCCGCTGACATAATTGCGAGAAGTCGTAATTGCAGCGTGAAAAATGAAACGACAATCAATATGATTGCCGGCTCATTTTGCAAATTAATTTATATATTTATTTAAATATAAATTCAAACTAGAGAATCAAAAAAAAAAAAACAATAGATTCAAGGTTACTGTGGTTTACTATCGAGAGGAATGAAACGCCTTAAGGCCGCTAAACTACGAGACATATTTCTGACCAGTACTTTAGCAGTTGATGACGCAATTCGACGATAGAATTTCCAATAGCTAGGCAAAAGTATAAGGGCTACTCGCCTACTTGTTCAACTATCACTCTCGTGGTTCATCCTAAATTCCAATAGCATCATCATGGTTGCAATTTACTATGTAACACATTTTTTAAACTCTTTTCACGAGGAAGTGGGGCTGATTTTATTCAATATTTTTATGCGCAGTAAAAAACTTGATCGCTCACAACTCACGATTATGGGAATGTAATGTGAACTTTTAGAATTTCATTTTCTTTGTCATAAAAAATGAATTTATTTCTTCGATCACAGGATTGCTTTTACTAAATTCTTGTCCACGCCATCATACTACCAGACAATCATAAAAGCAATGTCAATATTTGTAAAAATATAATCGAGAAGCGCATGCCACGCAATACATGAAAAATATGCCAGAATAAACATATAAAATCTATGATAACAATAATAATAATAACAATAATAATAGTAAAATAATAGAAGCAGCGAAAACCCGCTTTCCTCATACTCATCGAGTTAGAGCTCCTTAATTTTCTTTTTATTGGTAATAGTTATCAATCATCTAAAAACGGTATCAAATTCCATGGAAATAATCCGATCGAAATATCGTGCTTGAATATCCAAATAATCCATTGCATGTATAAAACAGTGATAAACCAGTTTTAAGTCTTGCATTTATTCTCATATTCTAACAGTTTATTCTAATATTCGATAACATTGAAAAATTGTTTTATCAACTGACCCAACGCATAATGCAAAGAAGATAGATACGTGCACTGATTGCTGCCCGTCAACAAATTTAGTCAAAATATTTCAGTGCGTTCAAACAACGAATAAAACTAGAACTGTTTACATATTTTAATTTTTTATTTATGAAGGTGAAATACAACGAAAAAAAAAGAAAATAGAATGAAACAAAATGATTATTTGAAAAATAATGAATCTACCGTGAATTTCCATCAACAAGAAATGGACTAGGGGAGCAAGATTTTTATTCCATGAAAGACTATAAGTGACACTTAGTTACCAAAATGCTTTAAAAATATATGGCTACGTATAGCAATCTAATGTATTATAAACTGTTCGTGTATAGTATACATTTAAAGGAGATTGAAAAACCAACCCAAAGATAAACTTTCTGAAAAAAAGTTTTCAGAAATTTGATTAAAAGATTAGGAGCAAATTAAGGATTTGATTTTTTAATTAGCACAGAATAGCCAATAGCAGCATATTGAATTGAATCAATTCATGGTTTTAATATTATTGGTATTGACTCGCAAACCTTAATTAATACAGAGAAGCAATTAATTTCATTTTTCATTGGTCATTTTGTATTGGTTTGAGATGCTAACATCTAAAATAATTATCTCTAATGAAATCTCATTTCCAAATTACGTTTTTCTTGCACTGAAAATTCGGGCTTGAAAAATGTAATAAAAAATTAAAAGTCAAAGGATAGTTGAAAAGCTTCAAATAATTGTCTGTTTCATGAGATAAGCAGAAATCATATCGTCATATGCAACTTAAAATTCAAATTTTTGTAAACTGTCGTCCCTACTACTAGAAAATAAATTAAAATTAACAATGAAGCGATAATTATACAATTCAAACATTTTATTCAGTAGTCAAAATAACCCTTATTAGATTACGATGTTATGAGTTATATAGGTTGCCGAATGTACTTTCTTGAAACATTTTACTAGTTGTAAGCAACACTCATCGATACAAAATAAGAATTTTCTTGTTGGAAAATCTAACCGTCTGTTTGCAAATTGGACAGATTCAACGGCTGTTGGTAAGAAGACATCTGTGAAAGCTCCACTGGTAATCGGGCGTCAGCATCCGGTAAAGAGCAACTAGTAACGCACTGGTCCATTAATTGATTCGCATGGGACGGTAGCGACGGAGATGGCGTTAGATGGCGCAAGCTCGATCTCACTCGGAGCTGCTGCTGGGGGGTAGTTTAGGCGAGGCTTCGCAGGATACAAACAGTCCAGAGCAGCATTCCATCGAAGATCTGCGAGCAGTACAGCAGCCTCTGCCTGCGCCTGGGGGAGCTTGCAATTGAGATGGGCCGTGCACGCACGTCGTACTCAGCGCGCAGCTTGCCATCGTCGTGCGTTCTTCGTCACTGACTGAATTGCAAGCTCAGTCATGCCCGCAGGGCCCGCGGCCCCTAGGCCTGCCGAGCTCCAAATGGATCCTCGCAGCCTTTACCAGCTGCAGCGTCCTGCCGAGGCTCAGCCAACAACGGCCCCGGTGACGCCCGCTGGACAAGTACAGCTCACGCAGGTCAGAAATCCTCCCCGTTTCACCCTTAATTTCCTGTCAAATGCGCATCTCATATTTATGTCGTCTGCTCTCTTTCTCTCCCTAAGTCTATTAAGTTCATTAGCTCATACATACACACACGCACTCATACCCACACTTTATCTCTCCCGTCCTTCCAGCCTAATCTTATTCTGATTCCTGACTTCGGCCCCCGTTACTAGCGAATAAAAAAAAGCTCCGATATTGAAGTCGCGTTATGAAGCTCTGCGTAAAGCACATGTCATTATATTATCTGAAGTTGATATTCATTTCTTAGTTAGAGAAACGTTAAATTACATGAGAAGCGGTGGCTAGAAAACACGTGAAAATGCATGAAGCGTAAACAGCTTACACAGTCCGACACATGCGCGCGCGGAGATGGGTTCACGAGAGGTCGCATGTTATACGGGCACACAAGATCCTGCGTAGCCATCATAACGTCCTAGGTCAGCAGCACAGTTGCGTTGCGCTATGTAGGTGACCTTATTATAGGATGTGAGCTCGGAAACGAATTGGAAATTATAATTTTTCCCATGCTGCATGCGATCAGTTTTACCTCTAAAGCTTTCTTTCATTTTGAAATTATGAAAGTTTTCCCGTCCTAAAACAGTAACCTTAACATTGGAGCAATGATTAAAATATATTGGCTTTGATATATACATAAAAAAACTATACAATTTGATCACCTAGGTAAACTAATCTATTAGATAAATAATTCATATTAAAAATATCTTCGAAGAGCTTAACATGAAATGTATTCGAATGTAAAAAATCTCGATGACCTTAGTTGTATTAATAATTTAATCGATAAAATTATGAGGTGTAGAATTAATAGTATATCGATTAGAAAACATAACTCAATTTATAAAAGGTAGATATTTCAACAAACTACGTTTATGATCATAATATTTATAATATGATTAATATTTAGTAATATCCATTTACGCACGGAATAATTATTTCTGGACCAAAAATACGTAAAAAATGTTTCAAGGATTGAAAAATAAAAAAACATTATTACAAATTATAAAGCATATTTATATTATTACTTTTAATTTTTTAATATGTATGAACAAATTGCATACATACCTTAGCAGTAGAAAGCCTCAGGGCACGTGTTCATTATTCTTTTCCATTCCGTACTGCTAATTATATGCGTCACAGTACTTTTCTTATTTTCGCTATTTTACAAATTAATTGAAACTAATTCATCGGAAATAGTTATGTAGATTTTTTTAATATTTTGAATATTAGTTTATTAATATGAAGTGGTTTCATTGACAATGATTCATTCATAAGTAAAATCAAAAATAATCGCGAATGTTATAAAAAATTAAACTTACATAAAACGAGCATTTTATTTGTAGGTGGATGTATCAACACAAGTAGACCTTCACGAAGGAGAAGTACCATTTCAACGTGGAGTTACCCCACATTATTCACGCGAAGACATTAAAGAGCAGTACTGCATAACGAATCGTCAGCTAGATGCCGTAGAAAAATCTGGAGGTGGTATTTTCGGTTGTATTACTAATCGGGGTCCATCACCCTGTAGCTCAGCAGCGAAATCATCCATCCTGTCAGCCTGCGTACGTAGTGCACCTAGCGACGAAAATCTCTTCGACGCTCCTTACCCCTACCCTCATGGAATGCGTGGCCGACACATAATGTATCAGCAAATAATGTATCAACAACCTTACTCTACCTATCCAAGAAACATGTCACGTTACGACAGTTACAACGAGGAAGATGAAAACGACTGGTATGACAGTTCCTACTTTCGCAGACGGCCCAAATCGATATGCACTACTCCAGATATTAAAAGGTTTGATTAATTTGAATTGACGTACTAAATAGTTTTCTTTTTGCGAAATTATTTAAAAGCACGTTAAAAGCTTCAAAACTAAAAAGTTCTAATAAAAATAAATTAAAAATTTTTGATACAACGAAAGAATTTTATTGCAGTGATTTTTCAACAGTAACGAAATCGATATTACAATCACTATATTTTTGCATATTTTTGCATCAGTAAAATATTTTTGTTTTGACAGATATCAATGGGCAACAGAAGATGAAGAATCAATGAAGCTAGAAGGTCCACGTTCAATTTTGCCTCAACAGCAGCCTTTGACTTCAGCCTTACACTCGCAACAACAGACTCCACAGACGAAACCTAAACATGTGAGTTTTGCAAGGTCTCATACTTTAACGTCCTTTGAAGTACCACGCACCAAGAGCCCTCCAAGACCACATAATCAAGAGCGTTTAATTGACTGCCAACCCACGCAAACTCCCGTCAATGCAGGGAATATACATCTTTACACTCAACCAGAACCACGAATTTTAGTTCTAGGTACGATAAAATTCTTTTACAGTTTATTGGCAATGTAGTATTTTATGCATTTTCCAATTAAAATTATTCATTGTGTTTGAAAAAATAGAAAAACAACCTAAACGTGGAACAATGAAAGCGCAAGCAACACAGACAGAAATACCAGCCGATGGATTGAAAGGACGCTTTCCAGTGACTTTAAGTCCTCGCACTATACATCGTGTTAGAATGGTCTCTCAGGGAGCTCAGACTAATGGAATTTTGAATGGACGCACTAAATTGACCAAAAGTTACTCAGAAGCTGGTCAATTAGGTACACCTTTGGGTGGCTCTTCTAGTGTGAAAGAGAATGTTCAAGAGCATGATCATGAGCCTTTGCAACGAACTCAAAGTGAAGAACCACCGAGATCGCCGTATATAGTCGAAACACCACCAATGAGATCGCCTTCTAAACACATTGAGAGTCAAGAATTAAACAGTGATTTATCATTGACGCAAAATGAGGTAACTCAAAATTATTCTTGCATAAGAAATATTTTTTTAGGTACTTTCAAATCTTTAACCAGCATTATGTTTAAAGTTTTTATAAGGATCCCATGTTTATAATTGATTTATAATATAAATAAGTATATAAATTACAGAGTAAAAAAATCGAATCGGAAGAAGATGAAATTTTAATCGACTTCAAACCAGCTCCGGTGTCTCCCGATGCCCGTATGTTATTGAATGAGATGGCACAACCATACCGTCGGTACATAAGTTTACAAAAAACCCTTTCTGATGGCGAGATTCAAGTCGAAAGACGCGAACTCATCGGCGAAACAGGCGAACCGAGTTATCCTCATTCCTGTCGACGTAATCACCAGGACCCATGGGGCAGAAATAAGCTACGTACTCCAATTCAATTTTCTTCGACGCCTGAAGATCTCTCACTTTTACGCATTGCTACATCGCCAGATGACTATAATGATGAGGTAACTAAATTAAAAATTCTATGGAAAGAATTTAAAATAAAATATCAAAATTATTTATCGTGAAATTTATAGGAATTTCATGAAAATATTGTACGTCGTGGTCTGTTTCGGAAACGCAGTGTTTCATTAGAAGATGGAGTTCAAGCTGTTGCTATAAATGAGTATATATTGCCTAGATCCCTTCCAACATCACCAACATCACCAACTTTAGGAGAAGGTAAATGATGGGAAAATTGTCACCTTTAACGTTTCAAAATAATATTAAATATAACTCGACTTTCGTTGAAAGAATGGCTAGGGTCCAGAAGGGGGTCTCGTAAATTAGTAATAAAATGTCAGTAAATGTAACGTTCACAGCATTAGGACATGATTAGCGATTGTTTTAGCTAAGACCTCGGTAGCGAAATAGGTATAGCACTGATCAGTTACAAGTGAGAGTATTCGGTTCGATTCCAATCGGAATTCAATTAGTAAAATTCTAGCAGAGTTTGAAAAACCATCGTCAGGAGTTTTAACTCTGTTCGCTAGTTGGGCATGAGATTACAGAATGAGTAATTATGTGTAATGTAGAGATGTGTTAAACATCGTATTGTCGTGGTAAATACGGACTCTGCACAAAGTTTTTTTTTAGCAGCACCATTAAAATTAATAGTTTAATTAAAAATTTATTTCAACAATAAAACATTAATTTACCGCAAAAATTGATGCAAAAAATTGTTTCATAAATTTAAGAGAAATATGAGTTCATTAGTTCCTGCAGTGTTAGATTTAATCACATTTAATAATTTTGACAGCAGCTACATCGAAAATATCACAAAGCCATAGAGGAGTTCAACGGCGTCGTTTGCGAACCGGTTATGGTATTCCATCGCCTTTTGTTTCAAGCGAATCATTAACGAACGATGCTACAAGGGACCACAGTGATGGTATTTGGAACGAGTCGCAGGCGACGGTTCTACAAGCTGATTCTCTTGCAGCGCTCACCCCTGCTTCTAAGCGTCGACATTTACTTATTCTTCAGCATCAACAACGTTCATCGATGGATACCGATGCTCTTGACGCTGAAGATGAATTAAATGTTTACTCTAATAGTCCTAGAATTAGACTTGAAGCTGCAACTCCAGTTACTACTACTCCAAGGTAAATTTGATTATCAAAATCAAGATATAAGTAATCTAGTTTCTTTTAACTCGATTTGAGTGTTTTTGAATTTATATGGTAACATTAATCTCAGTCATGAAACATACTCCAGCCCAAATGGTAAAAGAATCGAGTTTCTACGACGAAGTCCTGGTCTTCAGGCTCATTCGCAATCCTCCAGTGAGTTTGGTTTAAGTCGTTCTGGTACAACAGATATAAGCGAAACCTCGACGACTGATGATTACATTACTGCCAACACTTCGATGGGTACAGGGACCACCACCGGCTCAAGGCCGTATTTGCCCGCAGCCATTTCCACTGCCTCAGCTGCTGATGGCAGCTCTTTTGAAAGCGCCAGTTCTGTTTATAGTCTCGCCAGAAGTGAAGTATGTAAAAAAACTTTTTAGTTCATTCTACACTTCTATTTTATAAAATGATTGTATAACTATTTCAACAATGCATAACAACAATGCTTCAACAAAGCTTCAACAATGGATGCGTTAACAGTGGCAATTTTACTCGGGATATTACTGGAGTGACTGGAATTTCGATGAAAATAAAACAAAATATTATAATTTTCGCAATTGCAGTACCATTAGTAAACGACGGGAGTCTGAGTTTGTTCTCGGTTTGTACCCTAATTTTTTCTCCGAGTTTACCTGGTTTTTCCCTGGGGTTTTCTCGGCTCGTAAACTGAATTTTTCCCATTTTTCTCGTTTCCTATTCTAAACGAAAAAAACGGGGAAAATGGGTAAAAAGCAAGAAAATAATAGGAAAAAACTTGAGTAAACCCCCAGAAAAAACTTGAGTAAAAACCAAATGAAAACCCAGGGAAAAACCAGTTTTAAAGTCGAAAAAAGAAAACCAGGGAAAAATCGGGAACAGACAAGGTTAAAAACTGAGAACAAACCCGGTTCTTGTCGTTTACTAATAGTAGCGATTGCCAAAAGTAGTATACTTTGCTTTATTTGCATAAAAATTCCAGTCATGCTAGTAATAAACCGAGTAAAATTGCCAATTCAACGCACCGACTTTCTTTTCCTCAAAATTAAAAAAAAAATTTGTTGGATTTTTTAATATAAATCTGGTTTTGGTACTTCTTTTATTTAGTTTTTAGTATTTCTTGAAGCAAAAAGGTCTTAAATGACCATGAAAAATTCATCATTTTAAATTTCAACACTGCTAATGCTAAAAATAAACAGTATATCAATAATTAAAAGTCGTAAGAGAACCGGTATATCAATATATTTTTGTAAGTAAATTAGTAAAAGTCATTTCGATGGTTCAAGTATTATCTACAAAAAAGTATAATAGATCCTTTAGTACAATTGAAATAAAATCTTGTAAACTTGGAGATTAGTTTAAGTACATAAAATTAACTAACGTCGATGTTGCGTTAGCATAAGATAAGTCATGCGCAAGTATGTAACAACAAAAATTGATGCCGCATGTAGCGAACAATCTGCGCATGTCTAACTCACATTTTTATTCATTTCTTATCTCACCGCAGCTTTTTGTGCATCTACCAGTTACAAACTTTTCTTTTAGTAAAACATTTACGTATGAGAAAAGAGAAAAATAGCATAATTCAAAAATAAATAAATTATTTTACAATTTTAACATGGAGTATTTGAAACATTCATTGAATTGTTTTAAATGTGTAAAGTTAAATCAGGCAATACTTGACGAGCCGCACAGTTCACACGCGTCAAAAGATAAATCAGATTCATCGTATAGCGCCCAACCTGGGCCATCTCCCCTGAGAACTTCTAGCAGCAGTAGCTCTGGAAGTTATGATGTAGAGGATGCCCAAGCTGACTTAGCACAAGAGGCTTACAAGACAGCGCACCCCACGACCGGCATTGAACCTGAAATCGATGTAAGTTTAAATAAAATTAAATGATTGATTACAATGGGAAGTGAATGTGACAACCCTGTATTATTAGGATGGTCAACAATCTTCTTCCGGGGGATACGCAGAATCTCCACCAGACCGTGAGGTCTGGACGGAAGATGAGCGACGGCGGCGTAGACGAACTTTTACACCCCCAGATTATCAAGATAGTCAGACTGCAGAGACTAACGAGCCAAATAGATCGTCCACAATCGATCCATCGTTACATCATTTACCCGTTGATATCTCTACCAGTCCCAGTCGACGTCAAAGAGCTCGTCGCTCCCCGCATCGCAATAACAAGCAGCAATCACGGCAAACAACAGTCACTACTCAGCTTCATCAGTCGATGGAAGAACCAGGTCACGTGCCGACGAGCGACGATTCGAGCTGCGGTCATCATTATCATGTGCACCATCATCATCAACATCACCACGTACATGCGGAATCGCAGCCACCTACTACTCAGTCTCAGGCACAGCCTCAGCAGCAGGCCTCGCTTGCACGACATCGCAGAGCCAGAGAGAGCCCCAGGCGTAAAAGCTCTTCACACAATGTTGGAAGACGACGCAGCACCGAGGTACGTGTAAATTGTTATTCATAAAACTAAATATGACTTTTTTGAGCTCATTTTGCCGAAACTCTTGTGTCTTTCACACTTGTCATCTTTGAAGTTGAAATTACTACAGCATTCTTTGAGCAACTTTTTAGTTTTCCGTATATGGCTGATTTTCTATCAAATTAAATGTCCTGGTTTTTGATCTGATGATAGAATGAATATGCTGTTCATCGTCATTAAAGTACCACCGAATTTTACTACAATTCGAAAACTTTGGTATACCCCGTTTTAAAATAGTAGATATTAGTAGAAAACAGAAATATTAATATTTTTATACGTTTTTGAGTATTTTAAAATTTTTTTGTTTCCTCGAACTTATCGGTCTATTACAACAATATAGAAAGTCCTAATTAACGAATTGAAGCAGCATTCAAATTTTTGGTGATTAAAGTCCAGATAAAACTTACTTAGATTTCAATTTTAAATAGTATGAAATAACAGATAATGAATATCTGGTGGAAAAATATCAGATTTTTTCTCCTAAAGACACTCACGTCTCAGGTATGGACTTCGTTAACTGTGACAAAAGTCATTAATTTAAAATTGTCTCCATTTTCAAGACTTTTCAAACGGAGTATTAGAAGGGCCAAACATTTTTTATATGTTTAATTTATAACACGATAAAAAAATGTGTATCCTGTCAGCGAAAAACAACGTTTCCAGGCATTCAATTGGTATCAGCCATATACATACACGAAACGAAAATTTTGTGTTTAAATTAAGAAATTTGATTCACTGGATTGATTTAAGTACTAGATGAAAAAATGAAAATTAATAGTATTTTGTAATTATATTGTCGATTCAAAGTTTTTCATTGGCATACATTTATTTGAAACACAGTCATACTTAACGTTATTTTTAGTAATAATATATTATTATATCAATAAAACTTTATTCTTCCATAAAATATCGATCTTTTTTTCTCAATGTTGTCAGAATAGTGACAACTCTTGACAATATCAGGTCGAAAACATTCGATTTTTTTAAATTCATTTATAGCAGCTATAAACCAAAGGCTTATAACTTGAATTACAATACAATTTTCGAAATTTCAATTGTGAATTTTCTTAAAATAGCTTTTAATGAATAATTAAACGTTTATTAAAAATTGCTGCGTCTTTGAATCAATTAATAGCAATTAATTTATTTCTTAAGACAGTTGAAATGAAAGTTAAGACAGTTGATCTCTTTCTATCTTTTTCTTACTTTTCGAGATGCTTAGGTTTCAATGATCGCGAATTTCATGAAAACATTTACCTAAACTACCTACAAAAAACGGAAAAAACTTGATACATTATTTTACAGACGAATTGAAAAAAGATTCATTGATTCAAGATTGAGCATTATTTAATGATAAAAACGACTAAAAGTTAATTAATGGCTGCCAAATAATAAATACTATGAATATAGATAATTTTTTGAAACCTTTTATTTTGTACATATATGTAAAGTTTAAGTTGTTAAAAAACCTTTTTACTCCGACACCAATGAATAACTAATAAAATTCAATGACTCGTTTTGCATAAAATTAAAAACTTTGAGCGTGAAAACGTTTTTGAAAAAGGAATTTTTACTTTAATTGCTTGGTGATCGGCCTATATGAAAGATAATCAAAAATTGCCGTGCCAGTGCAGAAAAATATCTATTTAAACTCGGAGGCCAAAACTTACCCAAATCCTATGTTAATAACATCTCTGGCTTCTGAGTTTAAAGAGATAGAATACAGCCCAAGTCCACCCTATTAACTTAAAAGAAATACCTTTTTATGTTGGGACGATGAAATTGTAAATAATAATTTTTTTCACGCTGAATGTTTCATGTTTATATGGTAAAGAAATGGGATATTGTACCCTTTTTATTAGAAATTTTAATATTAAAAATTGCGGTAGAAAAAAGTCCCCACTGTAACTGACGTTTGAGTTGGTAAACATTTTCGTGCAGGATAAGAACGCGGATCTGACAGGTAGTCTACCTCGTAGGCGCTCGCGAGTCAGTGATACAAGTCGCTTGAGCTTAGACGGTAGTGGTCGTCAGATAACGAGTACTGGTCGTGACAACGACCTTTTGACTGGTACTTTGAAATCTTCAAATTCCAAAATCTTGGCAAAAGCAATCTCAGCCGAGAGCGTCAGAACCGACAGTCCCGGAAGCGACAGTGTTTTTTACACCATCGACGAACCAATCACGGATCAAATTCACTGTCATCATTGTGGACGAGAGGTCATTATTTTTTTTAGTTTGAATTGTTTGCTATAATATTTTCTAAAATCTTTATAATTTATAATATTTTCTAAAATTTTATCTTTGTAATATTATTTAATCAGCATCGTCATCAATTGCAACTTAATCATCGCATCGAAATTTTATTTTCGAAAAATACGCTACACTAAAAAAATCTACGTCATTATTTGATTATTTAACTTGAATACTATTTTTAATTTAGCTTTTTCTGAAGGCCGACATGTTTGTTATTTTATATTATTAGAGGGACAAAAAAATGTTGAGCTTCATGTTCTCACATTTTCTTTCTAATACAGTTTTATGGAACCAAAATGCTTCCCCAGTAGTAACAATTTTTGGAGTAGATACATCCCACGATGATTATCAATTATTTCTCAAGCAAATTAATGAGGCTGGCCAGTAACTTAGATTGTTAATTAAAAAACTAGTCTACCAAAAATAAAATAATAATTTTATTCACGTGGCAGAATAATTAAAGTCTTTTAAAATTATTAATTTACCAGTAAAATTTTAATTATTCATCTAATGGTAAAACTGAAAGTATAAAAATTATAATAACAAAAATAAACGTAATAAGTAGAAAAATTTTAAAGCTGAGAATAGTAACTGCTGTCAAAATTAATTAATTCAAACAATTTTATTAACATTCATGAATTCTTTTAAGGTTATCGAAGACATAGTTCAACCACCTGCAAGTTTCGCGGATTCACCTGATGGAGGTTATCGAACTTTACCAAAACATACCCCTGGTCAACGACTGTTCAAGAAATTTGATAAACGATATCGATCTGAAGACCGAAGTGAGAAACGTCAGCATCGAAGCAGTTTTGGCAGCCGTTGTGACGTAAGAGCTAAATCGGAGGAAAGAGGAAGTAAAATCAGTAGTAAATACGACGACTTTAGTCGACGAAGACTTCAAGCCCGGAGCACTGATGCAAGCATGGAAATATTGACAGGTAAATAAAGTCACTTCACTAGTTATTAAAAGCATATTAAAGCTACCGGTAAATGAATGTTTATGTTAGACTTAAAATAAAATAATAATATTAAAATAATTGATGGACAATAAAACTATATAATATTTTATACAATATTATATAATTTGATCGCGCATCAATTATTATAATACCATTATTTAATTTTAAGCTTTCATTTAGTGGTATTCTTTCAATTACTAGTAAGGTTTAAATTATACGTTCAAATTTTTATAAAATAGGTCGTGAGGATGAAGATGCTTACATTGAACCATATTCTAGTGGAGAATGGATTTACATTGGCGATTTACAGGAAAGCTACGTATGGAGACGTTTGAACAGTAAAGATTGTGATGAAGATCTAGAATATTTTAAAGATCGTAGAGGTTCTCAAGAATCAACGGAAAGTGAAAGAAACTTCAGAAAAAAATACCAAGCTGCTACCCATAGAATGGTACATAGGAAAAGTAGCGGCGAGATGTATAAAAGAATTCAAACGAAGTGTTTTGGTAAGTTATTTTCAAAAATTGTACTTTTTAAGACCTTTTCATGGACATGAATTTTTTGCACGGAATCAAAATTTTTTCAAGAGCTGATTAACAATAAGTAAAAAATTTTTCTAAAAATAAGTACTATTCAAATTCTGATCTTAAATCAATAATTATTATCATCGAACGCAAATAATTCAGATTTATTTCAATTCGTGAATTATTACGTACGAATGTGACATTCTTGGGGCTGTTACACTAGCCAAAAAATGAAATGTCTTGAATTAGATCATGACTGATTGAATAACGAAACTGAACTTTTATTCAATAATTTAAATACTACTTTGATTTTTAAATATTATTGAAAATCCATAATTCTCGAATGTACATTTGAAATTAGGAATTAATATATTATATTATATTATATATTATACTATGCATTATATGCTGAAAGTATATTTATTGCTTGAAAAAAACAGCTTAATTGATATAAGTCGATCCCTAGAAGTTGATTCTCGGAGGATGGAAAGGAAATCTGTCAATTCATTTTCATTGATTCATATTTTGTTAGAAAACCAATTTTTTAGTTAAAAAGAAAGTATAGAACATTTACTCTTTTTCGTATGATTAAATGTTCTCAAAGTTTCCCAATAAATTTACCTTTAATATGAGCTTTTGTTCAAAATTAGTTTAATTATTTATGAAACTCAGTTTTTTACTATGTAAAAAACCTCTTCATGTGGAAATGAGCCAGTTTTATTGTATCAAAGTAAGTCAGTCTTTTCCTATAAAGCTCTGCTGCAAGCTGAATGCGACAATATAAAAGATTACAAATTTGAACTAATAAAACGCATTCAGCTATAGACGATGATTAGTAAATTGTTGGAAAGTTTAAGTTAATATACAGAGACACAGAAAAGAACGAGTCGTATATTCATTGCGGTTCTTTAAATAGGCTTCGCGTAATATGGTGCAGCTGCAAGCGCGGTATGAAAAGCTACTTGTGCGGTATGAGTGGGTAAAAGATAGATTTGGTCGACTAAATATATTCAGTGCTGGCTGTTGCTACTGTTGATTCCGTTTCGACACTGGTAGCACGAGCTTTAAAGTTCAGACACCGCCCGCTTATAGTAGGTGGTCGGAGTAAGCGCGTAGCCGAGTGTTTTTGTCAGTGGATCAGGGTATCATGCTTTTATTCACCTGTGTTACTATTGAATAAATTTTCTGTGACGAATGCGTATCAAAATTTTCATTTTTTGAAAATTACTACAGTGTTAAAAAACTAGTGATTCGAAATAATCGTCATATTTTTGACACGGAGAATAAAAATGGTTTGTGACTCAACGGAATCCGAATGTCTATCTAACTTTACAATTAATCAAGATAATGAAGATAGTACGCTCAAGACTTCGCTCCAGCAACTTCTCAAATCTATGCTTAGAGTTTGGTGTACTGAGGGTCAGGCTCTTTCTAAATACGGCGTAGTAAAATCTTCCGGTATTCTATTTCCACCATTTCAACTAACTATTATATTATTTGTTCGATCGTTGCATTTTGTTTTAGATTCATTTTTTAATCAATAAACTTTCAACTTTTGCAAGTTTCATTCATACTTCATATTATTAAATTAGAAGTAATAATTTACATAATTTTTATAAAACGAATGTGGAAATTATCAAATGCGTTAAATTAAATTTTTACTCTACTTTTTTAACAAAAAGTTTGAAATTTAGTATTATAGCAATTACTTTAACGGGTTCTAAAAATAATGAATCATTGATGTTCGCAATGATTTTTGCAGATTAAATTAATTTTATTTCGCTTTAATTTCAATTAAAATTTTTTAAGATAATTTGTGACAGATGAATTCATCAATTCTAAGAGTTTTCACTACTAAAATCATTATAATATATCAAAATCTTTTACAATTTAATGAACAATTTTATGAAGCTTTAATTATTTTACACTTTTTTGATTAGTAAATGCAAATTGCCGGTAAACTTGGGGGAACAAATCAATAATATGCTTATAGTAAAATTATAGATAAAGGTCCGATTAATTTTGTTATTGATTCAAATTCACCAAAAATTATCAAATTTTGTCCTCGTTAACTATTTATTCAAAAAATTTAATTGGAAAAATGAATATAATTTCATAAAGTTTCATTGAAAGTTATTCATCACGAAAAATAAAAGAAAGCGATGACCGAAAATAAAAACAATTAAACAAAAAACAATTTAAAACATCTTCGACGATCTAGATAGCAAATTGGATATTTACTTAGACTAATTAAGTACAGAAGAGATAGATGAGTGAGATCCACTAACCAAAATAAAAGAGAGCATTTCAATTGGCACCTGACCCGGAGTGTCAAATTAAGCGTATACGCCGCCAAGTACTCACCTTGATGAAATGTATTAAGCATTTAGGACATGCACGGTCCCGAAGATGTTTTAAATGCTAGGGTCATTTGGAATTTAAACTTGACACGCTCTAAATCGTTAATGACCTTTAGTAAATTAATCGATTATTGAATTCTCACAAATATTACTGGAAATTCCATTCTTTACAAAAAAAATTAATTAATTGAAATTGTGTACTTAATGTACAAATTAACAATTGTGTACAACATTTTCGTTTTTAATAACTAATGTATAACTCAAACTTGAAATTTTCAGTAGAATTATTTTTCTCCTTTTATTCATAAGTTGTTATTTACAATAAATTTTAATTTTTTTCTGAGATACAGAAGTACCCGTGATTCGTTTTCGTACATTTTTCGTGTTAAAATTTCAACACAATAAATAAAACCCTAAATTTTATGGAATTTTGAATAAAAATAACTTCAAAATGAGTCAAAAAATTTCCCATTAAACTTTGCTTCAAAAAATGATATGTTTTTTTATCTCATTCAACTAACATATTTCACAAAATTCAAATTATATGAAAAATCTTTTTAAAGTGAAAATTTATATAATAATTTTCATATATCCCCCAACGGATTCTAAGCATTTATTTCACAATATTCTTTGAAATGAGCTCTAGGGCACATAAAATGAAAAAAATACAGGTACCTACTTTGCTCTGACACCCACACCAAAATGTTGAATTGATTCAATGTTTCAGAACTCCATCTTTGTCCACTTGATATTTTCCTTTTTTTCATTCTAAATGAAGCCGATAAATCTGTTCCTCATCGAATGAGTTTTAAAATAATTATTATATTTTTTTATAAATGAATATAATTTATCGAATTTTACAGAAAGCGACAAGACAGTCGTGGTGAGGCGAGAAGCTGGTGGTGAATTTGGATTCCGCATTCATGGTTCTAAACCCGTAGTGGTATCAGCTATCGAGCCAGATACACCAGCAGAATCTTCAGGTCTTGAAGTCGGAGATATCGTAATGTCAGTGAATGGAAAGAGTGTTATGGAGGCTACTCATTCAGAAGTAGTCAGATTAGCTCATTCTGGTTCTGATGTGCTCGAGCTTGAGGTTGCTCGCACCTGCAACGTTCTGGCACCTCAGATGCCTGGCCAAAAGGAGGCTAAGCAAGAGTCAGCTTTTTGTCAAGGTTATCTATGGCGAAAATCTAAGAGTGCAAATAATGCGTCTTTATCTTCATCTCATGATAAATGGATTCGTCGATGGTTTGCTCTGCGCCATGACAATTGCCTTTATTACTACAAGACTGAAACGGTAAATATCAATTTACTGAACACGTTAGCTCTTTTATAGGGAAAAGTTTTATCAAAAGCTCATTCTGAATCATAATTTTCAACAAATCTATAGGATTCGCAGCCAATAGGAGCAGTGATGCTGTTAAAGTATGATGTGGAATTCACTCGTGAATCACAGAAGTATAGTTTTGCCATAAAGAAGCATAATGCGCCAACATTACATTTAGCTGCCGATTCTGAAGAAGCCAGCGTACGATGGGTAACGGCTATCCGTGAAGCTGTTCAGAGAAATAATGAGGTATATTAAATTTTTAATGAAAAATAAATCACCTCAAGTTTCACTTATTTTTTAAAAAATTTACACACATCTCAAATAAATCATGGTGTTTTAATAATTTTATTCGTCTTTTGTTTATGGAGCCTGCATACGGCACATAATCTGTTGAAAATTTTGATCAACCGCTATCTAAAAATAAATTTTTATACTTACTTGGGACAATTAATATAGGGCAGATGAAAAATTTACAGCATTATTCTAATGCTGTTGACTTTATGGGAAGATAGCAGCTTTTTTGTTTATTACGGGGGCGCTAACTTGGCTGATCGCCAGGCTGATGCCAGCTCAATAAGCTCAAAAGCCTCAATTGCAGACGCTAGCGCATCTGCTTGCATTAAAGTGCATAAAAGTATGCCAATATACTAAAATAGGACATTTTTAGCATTGATGCGAAAACAGCATCACTTAAAATCTGGTCAGAAAAGGGTTATTTTAAAGTGGGTTCAGAAAAGGGTTATCATTTTCTGAAAACCAAATTTCAGTTACATCTTATCCATTTCAGAACGAGCTACTATTCAAAAATATTTACAGTTCAAAACAACAGCAAACGTCAGTACATTTATAAGACAAATGGTCCACAGTAACATTGCTATTTATGACCCTTTTATATGAAAAACTAATTTCGTGAGATGGACTTTAAGATGCACTTACAACACAATGATCGGGCACTAGTGCACCAGTTTCGTGCCGCAATAAATGCGTTATTTAGCTTATATTGAAACCGATAACATGATAATATTTAATAGTTCACGAATGACAGTAAATAAAACTTACAGGCGGATACGTGGTTAGATTCATCATTGCAACTGCAGCATGTACCAGCCACCATGATACAACGTGCTGATTGTTGTGGCTATCTGAGCAAGCAGCATGAGCGTGTCCGACGCTCCTCGTCTCCAACAGGTTGGTCTAGGCGTTATTGCGTCCTAAAAGATGCGGCTCTATACTTTTACGACGAAGTGAACGCTGAGCAAGCTTTTGGAGTAGCTTGCCTTCATGGATTTCGAGTTCATGGTAGTGCACCGACTTCGGGGGGACGGAAGCATGCTTTTGAATTGCAGCCACCGGATCCAACTCAAAGAATATACACATTCGCTGCAGATTCGGAGATGGACAAAAAACGGTAATCTATTTTGGATCATTTCACCGTGAAACATATTTTATACATTCATTTTTTATTTTTTTTTTTTTATTATATGAATCGTTTTAATGTATTTACAGGTGGCTAGCAGCATTGGAATATTCAATTGATCGTTGGATAAAAATAGGCTAATAATTGCCAAAAACTACACTATAAGTCAAACATCTATTACAAAAGCCAAATTCTAGAAAGTGTCAAGTAAAAAACTCAAATAACTTTCTTTTTCATCCCACGATTTTAGCCTTTGACGCAGTAAATAATAAGACCTCGATCGCCCCACCGTCCTGCACAAATGAAAATTATATACATGCTTTGTAATACAATGATGAAACTTAGAACGAAAGTTTAAACATTTTGTCAACTTTGTAAAATTTATATTAAAAACGAATATTTGCCTCTTTTAATATAACGACAAAGCATTATTTGGTAAAGTCTTTTATGAGTTGTAAGTATTGAATGGAATTAATGCGATTTCAGAAAAGTTGCAAACAATTTTATCACAGATTTTAAGAGTTTTGATCAATACTTATTTTGAGAGAGGATTGTAAAATGTTCTTAGATTTTGACAACACATTTTCAAATTAAATTTTATAGAACAGTTTGTACGTGAAAAAGAATAATTATTAGAATATGTTGACTGAAAATATGATCGCATGAAATTTCATGTGTACTTCCATACTCGTTCTTCGAAAATTGTAATGAGATGTGCAATAAAATATTCTCAAGATTTTAATCAATCAAAATGAATTATTGTATTTTTTGTAAAGTAGATACTTCACTTGTACATACAATTATAAAATTTTAATATTATATATTTGTGTACTTTATACGTTTTTCTTTCTTTGAAAAAATAAATAGTACATAGGGTATAAAAAATTTTAACATGATTTTGACTGAGACAGTACTATAATATTAAGATTTTACTTTCGATCAAAAATTCACAAAGACTTGTATGGAAACATTTATGTAGCTTTAATGAATTGTGTAGATGATATTAATTAAATTGCTTTATTAATATGTACTACGTAAAATACATTTTAAGAGGCAAAAATAAAAAATCAAGTACACATTCAAATCTGTGTATGAATGTATAAATATGATTATATATATTATTAAATATAAACATGATCAATAAGATTTATTATACATAAGATACAATGTGTCTTAAATTACTCGCACACCCTATTTACAATAAAGAATATAGATTTTTGACATAGGATGTACGGGTGGTCAGAGGCCCATGGTATATAGTTAGGTATATATACATCACTAAGCAGTTTTAAAAATGAAACAGAAATATATGTTTTCATATGATGAGTTTGGTATTCTTATACTAATATTTGATTATAATATTCGATGATGTATTTGAATGTTCCCAAACAGTTTTTGATTAATTCTAATGATCGACTAACATACTCGTACTAGGATGACGTGAAAAAAACTTCATAAATACATTGTAAAGTGATCCAAAAATGCAATAGAAATTGGATATTTTATGAATGTTGCAAAAACTTTGTCAAATTCTCAAAAGAACAAACAAATTTATACGCACAAGAATAATATTAAAAAGTTCAGTTTTAGCGACGGCAACAGACATACATCATTCAAGACATTGTGGTTATTTGTGATAATTTCTTTTCAATCTTGTTCATTCGTAAATTTTACAATGAGATTTAATATTATGAATCTTTGTAAATAACCATTATTTAACCAGACCCGGAACCTAGCACGAAATTTTAGTTCTCAAACAAAGTTTTTTGAAACTACTATTGAATATTTATTTGAAATGCTTTATAAGAACCTTCAGAAAACCAAAATAAAGTTTTCCAACGAGCCTTTTAGAGATTTATTCAGTATAAGCTTCAGTAAACTTGTTTGAAAATTTCAATTTTGGTCTAGGTTCTGGATACCCAAAATTAGAATTGCCTTATAAATAAAAAAATGAAATCCACTCTTACTTTTACGTTTAATTTTACTGTTTTAATTAACGTTTACATTTACTGATTTGATAAAAATATAAATAATTATACTTCGATCGATATCTGCTTGTTACCATTAAATTTATGATCATTTTTAATATTATTCTTCGTTCGTACACAATCAACTGTACCTTCATTAATTTTTTTGTACCCTCTCTTTAGTTGCTCTAAGAATCGATCTAAGATTGTGTAAAAAACGCATACCTGTAAAATATTAGTGAAAATTCAGACTACGTAGAGCTGAATTAAATGAAAATCAATTCCCAAAGATCGAGAACAGGTTATGAAATTTAATTAAATTTAGTATGTTAGAATTCATGTTTTTCAAGTACTTTACACCTTTATATCGTAAAAACGAATTATATCTTAAAAACATAATAATATACAAAATTTTACCACTCTTCAATAACCTAGAGCAGTTTGATCAACGCTAAACATAAATTATAATAACTATTACAATTTGAATAAATTGTACAATAAATTGTTTTGTTCTTTTTCTTTTATCTATATCAACAAAATCGTTGACATTATTGTAACCGATGTAAGACTTTACAATTTGTTAAGAAGGACTAAGAAATGTTTCTCATTAATTTCAAATACATTATTAACATATATTTGAAAAATACGGTTTTTATAAAATTAAATTGCATTAAATGTTCAACTTACCGACATCAATCAAATTGTTTTGAAAAAATCCACAAAACAATAACGTAGAATTCTCAGGCTATGGAAAATTCAAGAATCGATGTCTGGGTGTTAAACTATGTTCACATAAACAATTTCTTGGACAAATTCGAAATCCAATATATTTTATTTATGAAAAAAACGTATAAATATTTGTTAATAAAATTTTATAGTATTAATTGAAGAACTATAGAATTTTATACCTACTGCGATGTGTCACACTTTTTTGTGTAGATAATTTGAAAATAATTGCACAAAAATGTATCGAAGAAATAAAATGCATGGGACTTTTGGATTAAAACAATCTAAGGAAGATGGGTACTTGATTAAGGAACAGTTTAGAATGCAACTATACAACTTAAAGAATTTTGGTAATAATTATTTTCAAAAATAATTTGAAATTGTATCAACTTTATTCAAGAACTTTTTTATTGTACGTGAGTTTTGATGTTAGACAGAAAAAATAAAGGGAAAAATGTGTGTATCATATGTCTGTGGTCGAATGAGGTGAAAATAATTTGAGATGATGGTGATAGCCAAACAATTTCAGTACCTCGCGCACACATCTCTAAAAACAAAGGATACGGTCGCAATTAAAATTAAAGTTTATAAAAAGTCTGAGCATCAACATTTCTTTTTCACTGAATTACTCTGACTGGTTAGTTGAACAGTTTTAACTTTCCAAAGACATCCTAAACACTATTATCAATGAAAACTGTTCTTAGCTGTTCTGAGTACATTAAATTATTAATTGAAAAAATATAAAAGTACTGTTAACGGCTATTAACTTTTATTAAGTATGATTGTATATAATTATAAAAGATAATGCACAAATATGAAGAATACTTTAGAGTTTGGCAATTTTAATAAATTGAAAAATGTATAAATAATATATACAAACTCAGTTTGTTACAATTCAATTTCGATCATAGACAGCCTTAAAAAATACTTTTTACTTCCATACCTAGGTGAGATGATTTCGGTTTTAAGTGATGTTGGTGCCTAGACTAAAATGTATTAATACTTATAGTGGAATGAAATATTAATACAACACAAAATTTAGATTGAGCATCGAGTGTCTAAAATAAGGAAACTGTAATTATAATATATATAACTGTAATTGATAGAATATATTATAATGCATTTACCATGTCGCGAGCCGGCGAGCGACCAGTAACCTACTATTTCATGTTCATTATCAATGAATAGAGAATTAACAAAGAAAATTGATCAATTTATTCTAAAATAAAAAATAAAGAAAATATAAAAAAACGTAATTACTTGCGAATAAAATAAAATGTTAATAAAGAATTTAATACAAATAACATAACGGCATTATGCCAACTTTTTAAAAGAACCTCTTCTCATTCTCTACCCTAGTAGTTGCGAAAAATTAGTTCGTAGATACATGTGTAGATGTCATTTGTTTGGATGTTAATTTTGAAACTTGAATTTTTTATGAATTTTGAAATCTATTTTAAAGTAAATATTAAGCTACCAGCAAAAGTAGTTTCAAAATGAGTGTTTTATATGTATCAGAATTTAATATAGTAAAGTACTCTCAACACATTTCGTATAATCCTTAGAGGGCTAGAATATGTTTATAGGAGTAAACCAGCTGACTTTAAAATATTCACTATTAATTTGATTTTAAGTCGTGGATCTTAAAACATGTATCCATATAATCAATGAACTGCAGAAAACTCCGAAAAATTAAATCAAAGAATTCAAGAATCAAAGCGCACCATACTACGATTTTTCTTTCAAGAAATCTTCGATCAATTAATCTGTAGTTAGTAAATAAATTTTAATTTAATGCATGAATTATGTTATAAAGTTATGTGTGTTAAATTATAAATGTTCCTATTTCCTTGTTGTTATTATTTCTGAACTTTTCAATTGAAATTTTTACAATGGATTTTTTGTACTCCAATAGTACTTTACGATACAAGTGCCCTAAGTAACACTTGTTGGTACGGCGTAGTTTAGGGCCCGAGCGCAGCGAGTCCTAATAGCTGGGCCAAAAAGTGTCCCCATGACACGAGCATCGTACTACATTTTATAGCACTGTGCTATAAGTGCCCTTTTTCGAGTCATGAGTCGCACATTCTGGTACCGCGAAGTGAGGTTAGCGCACGAACGCCGCGACGCCGTAACGTGCGACTTATGTCACAGGAAAGCATGCCATAAATGTCAACTTAGGCCTCACAGTGGTATAATAATTATATTCATTATGCTATTGTCTATGCTTTTCATTCACGATTCATCTTTGAAATGCCATGAGATTTGATTTATTACGTAACGGGGGTGGGAGGTTATGTACATAAATTTTACATACCAGTGGTCCGAAAGTAGCATTTTTCTGCCGCTGTGCTAAACGGAATATTGCTATTTTCGGGCCACAGGGTATGTAAAATAGCATACTGGCCTAGGGCAGTAATATACTCTTTATCACTACGTATGGAAAGAGCTACTTTCACGCCCGACTGACCATCGCAACGTCGACTTTCCGCGCGCTATAATAAAAAATGCAGTACGCAACTTAAGTGGTTGTTAATCTTGTGAATAATTTACACAATGATAATTAATCAATACCTTCCATTTTTGTCAAATATCCCGCCTCCGTTAAATAATGTTCTATTTTGGTACGATGTTCATCATAAATAGATAAATCTTTAACTTGAAATTCTAAAATAACCATATGGTTGATAGTTTAAATATTTCCAAGACTGGACTTTTTTGTTTCACTCAATAAAATATAGTAGACTACAATAATTACAGAAAATTATTTTTAATACGGTAACTTTTCACCTGTAATAAATACATTCAACATTATTAATATAAAATGATGATCTTACTTAAGAATTATTTAATTTTTCTCATTGTAGTTATTTACGATACAAGAGCCATAAAGAACACTATACGACACGGTATAGTTTAAAACCCAAGCGCAGCGAAGGTCCTGATAGCTAAGCTAAAAAGTGGGTCCTATTATGATTCGAGTATCGTAAGAGATTTTTATAAATGTGTGCTAAGTTTACATTTTTGTTCCTTTTTCTAAGATATAAAAAGTTACGTATCGTTCAAAATGCTTGTTTAACATCAGCGTTATTAGCATTAAAGGATTAATCGAAAATAATGTTACGTGTATAAAGTAAACTAAGAAATAAATATCAATAAAACAATTTTTTTTTCATCTCACAACGTCAATAACTTTAATATTGTGACTGGCAACTACGAATTTAAAACTTCAACCCACAATTAACTTAAAATGTTTTCATGTAACTAACTAATCCTCTTGCAAAAATGAAATAACGTCATATAGAACGATTTTTATCAAAAAATTTTAAAAAAACTATCTGATAATATTTATCTAATAAAAACATGATTTTATAATTATAAGAATAGATAATTGTAGTTACCATGAATGAATATTACTAGTCATTAAATGTTCATTAATAAGCACGTTAAGGTGCTTTTTTCAACAAAACTTGTAATAGCATTTGAAATTATTCTACAACCTATTCTTTTGTTTAAAAAAACGTAGCTCAATGTATCAAAAACATATAAAAATTATTAAAAAAAAAAGCAGAAAAAATAAAGTATATTTCGAAATTACTATTATTACAAAATCTGATTTTTATAAACACGTGTACCCTGATTTTGTTTTAGTAATTTTCTTTTGTTAGATTTTATACGCTTACATAACTGATCAATGAAAAATGAGAATGAATTGAAAGTAAATTCGACATAACACACGTCCTACTTTTTGGAAGAGTGAGATGCACGACTATTCAAGTGAAGATGATACATATGATAACGCAAAAAAAGATGAAGAAACAAATTCAGATAAAAATCGCGCTCAACTGTATAAATAGTTTCAAATACTACCAGTTTTAATATTCTTGAGTCATCCATTTTCAATATTTTGTTTATATTTAGGTATGTAACGATGATTTTATGACATACAGTACAAAGATCTAAGAGTTTTACATTATCAATCTTTGATTAGAATTTTATCAAATTTATAATGACAAATAATGCGCATATAATACTCTCTTCAGCTTACCCATATAAATTTGTGTACATATAGTCTGCTCGTGTTTTTGTGACACAAGGTCAACTTCTTCGACTTAACTCCCTTATAATTCGCGTGCATTTATACATCGTCGTGTAGCTTCGATTTAAGTAAGTAAAAATATATCAAAAAGTAAATTTTAACTTATGGAAGTTTATTTATCATTATTGATTCAAATTAAATTAATTACTGCCCTTTTGTTATAATCTATCGATTTTTATAGAGAAAAATCATTAGCATTCATACGACAGAATAGATGAAAATTTTTTTTAGCATTTATTTAAAAATATTACCTAACATTTCGAAAGTTTGATTTTGTGGACTATTAAATCATGAACGAGATTTTACATTTAAATTTGATGCAAGAAAACTAATGAATATCCAAAAGAAGTTTCATTTGTTGAACAATAAATAATTCAAACGATTACTCCTTGCTGATTTTTGACGGTAGCCCAACAAATGGAAGGTCTTATCCTGACCGATTATCATATTATAATTTCGTGAAACTTTCGGACGCGTAAGACAGTACATTATAAAAATTTTGTACAAAAAATGTCAGACAATAGATTTCACCAAAATTTGAAAAAGAAATAAATTTTGAATAATGCGCGAGAATAACGAGCTAAAGAAGCGACCACGTTCTTACACTTTCATTGATTAGTAGCTAAAATAGAGTATATATTTATCAGAAGGCTGCTATTGATTGCAGTATTAAGACATATTTTTCTAAACGTGTAAAAGATGTACTTGGGTAAGCATTATGTTTTTATAATTGAGAGGGTCTCTCAAATTTCAAATAATCCGAAGTCGAAGCCGGCGTGTGATACAGTGACAAAAAAGCGCAGTTTTGATAGTACATATGTTTCGGCTGGCAGGATGACGCGATGCGCTATTCAGCAAAGTCGACATGCGGCATTTAGCATGTATGTGTACGCGCGTGTGCGTGGCTCGCCAAGGATGTATGTATGCGCGAGTAAAAGTAGCCGAGCGTCTTCGAGGTTTCGAGAGAGTGCCTCCGGCGCGGAGTGCGCCACGGCAGTGCACCGACCTCGCTCCTCCTCCTACCGACAAAGAACCGCGCGCAGAGAGCAGCTCGCCTGCCTGGCTATCCGGCAGCAACAACGGCAGCTCAAGTGGCGGCAGGACCGGACTCTCGGCTATTGCTGATGTTGCTTCCCACCTTCCTGAGAAAAAGGTACACAGAAAGAGAGACGGAGAGAGAGAGACAAGATGAAAACGGGTTCCCTCGATTCGTAGCCGATTTCCAGGGCCGCACTCGGCATCTCCCTGCTCAAATACCGACGCTACTGCTCGGCTTTCACTCGTTCTTTCGATCTTGCTCTTCTCATCTTTCACTAATAAACCGTGTAAAATTAATTGAGAGCCATGGACTTTCGTTCTAGGTTTGCTGGTCAATACCAAGACCGCTACTTCATAGTAGCAATTCATAGAATTTTTAATTAGCTCAGGCTTCGGTAGCCGCAATGGACCATCTTGCGCAACAATAGTTTGCGTGAAATGTTCAAGATCGATGAAACGTACGAATCGAGCTTGTACCAAGCGGTCGATTTGAATTTTCCGAAATTGGCCCAGAGAAAGACAGGCAGCAAGAGACGAAAAGCCGCGTGAGAAAGGATCGGGAATCGAATGTCAGCTGCGAGTCTCGGGGTCCGGCTGGAGTCGCCGACATACCTGAGCGGAGTAGCGCGTTTTACCCGTCTGTATGCCCTAGTGTTTAAGCTCCGTCTCTCTCGCTCATTGTATACCTGGCGAAATCAAGAAGCGGGAGTAGCGAAGAGAAAGAAGGAGAGGAAGAAACGCTGCCGCCGCCACGCAGCATCCAGCAGCAAGCTGTATATGCGCTACTACCTGCTCGCAGCTCGACGCTATATAGCTGCTCCGCCGCGAGCACACACACAAGCGCGCACACGGACACACCAACACAGGCATAGAGACAGAAGCAGGCGCGCGCGAACCCCGACACACGGACGTGGAGGAACGCGCGCTCGCACGTATAATTTCTGCCTGGAGAACCCGTGAGCCGCGCACACGATATGCGTGTCGGAACGTGGGTGTGTGTGCGTGAGTCGAGCCCGAAAAGTGGGAGCGAGAGAGCCTACCTGACGCTGCTGACGCTACGGCAAAACATACAGTGAGCCGCGTATCTCTCTCGGGACGCCATATACCTGAATTATCGATGTGACCGTTTGCAGTAGCATTCGCAGTCGCTTCCATCATTATAATATCTCTTTTATTGCCAGCTCCGTGCCTACATCCTCTCGTTGCTACCAATTCGTGACTTGTCAAAACAAATCGCGTTCAAATGCAGCGAGCTGACTCGCCGACCGAAAGAGTACGCTCTAAAACGTAATTATTATGCAGTGGTGACTCCACAGGTGCGCACAAGTGAGAGTGTGTGTTGGAACTTTGTGCCTAGTGCCAGTTACGGTAGCGTTTCAGTGTCTTTGTTATCAGTATCAATATTGAGTCAACGAGGCTCCAAGATATATGTGAAAAAAAGAGAAAAAGAAAAAGAAATCGAGCATCAGCGACGCGTACATCGACTCGGCGTCGTCGCAAATACGTTGAAAATCGGCGCGAATAAAACCCAAACGTGGGCTGGAATCGACGATCGTCGACTCGAGCTGCCAAGCACCGCTGAAATGTTGATATCGTTAACCAGTCCAAGGCTATAAGGCTTCACAGCCGACCGAATCGGCGCCAATTAGCTCGGAATCCAGGCCCAAAAAGTGGCTACCAGGTAAGTGTGTATAGATACATATATAGTTGCGCGCGCTGCATGTATGTATAGTGTATACGCGTTTATCGGAGAAAAGAATTCGTACGGAGGCCACAGCGCCACACTCGAGACTGCGCGCAGATAATTCCGATTCCAATATGGCGGCTCGGGACTAGTCATCGCACAGCTCGAGATCCACGGAAGCCATATTGGCAGGTGTGCATGTCGAGTAGATAATAATCCTCGCTATCGTTAGCCTTTGCAGGTTTGTTGACAAATCCTTATCGGAACTATTTGTAGTTTGATCTACGCGCTTTCACGTTTGTCCATATCTGTATTTTTTTTAAGACTGCGTCACGCTAAATCTCCTTCTTTCTTTTTTTTACATGTTTCGATACAGGAATTTTCATACCCACGAGTTTATTGATATTCGTTGCTATTTCGTAATCTGTGAAGCCGGAAACGTATGATTCTTTAATTATTACATCTTTACGAACATAAAACTAGATTTTTTCAAATTCGATGCATGTTTTTTAAAAACTAACCGTGAGTAGAAATGTTACCTTTATTGTGATTTAATGTATTTACGAAGCATTTTTGTTCCACAATAAATTTTTATGCTACGAAGCTTATTATTTATTAAGTTTTATAAAAAGAACGGCTCTTTAAATTAAAAAAAAACAGTAAACTTATTCTAAAACTTAGGCATTTGAATCGATCGTCGATAACAAATAAATCTACTTTTATTTTACTGTAATATGGATTTTAAAATTGATTACAGATATTATCATGCCGACTGACCTTGTAGTATCTTCAGCTAGCGAAGAACGGACTCTTAGCCAATCATCTCGTCCTTCGACATCGGGTTCAAGCAGCACTCGAGATGGGGAACGATCCTCATCGAGGGGTAGTTACGATGGCTCACTAGGCTCGTATCATCACGGACATGGCTACGTCGCAGGGCTTGGCCATCCCCATCATCACCGAGAGTCTTCGGCCTTTGTACCTGTAGTGCCTTCAAGGCTTCATTTAACAGCCTATCCTAACGAAATACATTCACATTTACCCTCGGCTACGTCAAATTCGTCGAATAACGCGACATCTTCGTCCAACAGCAATCAGGAGCGCGAATCAAGCATGGAAAATACGAACGCTCGGAAAAGCTCGTCCAGCTACGAAATAATGGCGATGATGGCTGATAAGAGAAAAGAGCTGGCCGCTAGAACACTGCTCTTACCACCTTCGTCCTTGCTTGAACCACCTCCAGGTTATCCTGTATTTCCAGGACCCTTTCCCGGAGGATCGGCACTTTACCCCCCGGGGGGACAGTTGGCTCATCAACACTTGGACCGAAGATTGCTCAGAGCACCGGGTAGAGCATCCCGGCCTAAAAAACAATTCATATGTAAATTTTGTAACCGACAGTTTACGAAAAGTTACAACCTGTTGATACACGAGAGGACACATACTGATGAGAGGCCATATTCCTGCGACATTTGTGGCAAAGCTTTTCGTCGACAGGATCATCTTCGAGATCATCGGTATGAAACAGTTGCATTATAATCATTTGTAGATTAACTTCAAGTTACTATTTCACAAAAACTTTATTTTGATTTTTTAATTACTTAGGTACATTCACAGTAAAGAGAAACCATTCAAGTGTAACGAATGTGGTAAAGGATTTTGCCAAAGTCGCACCTTGGCTGTACATAAAATTTTGCACATGGAGGAATCACCTCACAAATGTCCAGTTTGCTCTCGAAGCTTTAATCAACGCAGTAATCTCAAAACGCATCTACTAACACATACTGATCACAAGCCCTATGAGTGCAACTCGTGCGGTAAAGTTTTCCGTAGAAATTGTGATCTTCGTAGACATGCCTTGACTCATGCAGTGGGAGATGTACCCCCGGAAGCATTAGAAGATCTACGTGACGATGATAGTCCCGAAGAAGACAGTGGTCCAGAACCGGGTCCATCTTCCGCAAGCTCTCACTCGACGACAATGTCAAAGCCACCGAGCGGATCAGCATCTGCGACTGAATCTGCGAGTTCAAGTTCCAAAACGTCGCAATCCAATATTTTTTCATCACCTCGACCACAATTGCAAATTCGTCGAGACTTGCTGCTGGCAAAGCCGAATAAAATTACGAGCAGTGGTAATCTGGCTTCGCAGAGTTCGGGTGGGCCAATGCCCCCACCTATACCTTTAATGCTCATGTCCTACAACAGAAGAAGAATCGGTTCTCCCGGGCCATCGCGTGCCCTCATAGAAATGCAGGAACGCGAACGAGAAAGGGAGAGAGAGCAACGAGAGGCGGAGAGCGAGCGAGAACGTGACTTGGAGCTTGAACGGAAGAGAGAACGGGAGCGCGAACGTGACCAAGAGCGAGAACGAGAAAAAGCACTGACTCCACAACCAGCGACAAGACAACCACCTACTAGGCAAGGCTTCACTATTGCAGATATAATGCGCCGGTAGACTATAATTAAGTTTATTCTTACGTCAATGTTTCATATTTTCACGTTTTTTTCTAAATCGAATCTTATGTTAATGCTTTCGTGGATTTGAAAATTCATAATTTTGTAAATAATTTTGTTAATCAAAAAACATTTGATGTGATTAGAAAGAATTCAAGGGCGAACTTAACTGCGATCGTTGATGTGCATTTTACTTAAAAGTCGATATTTTATTTTTTTTTATCCTATACTCGTTGTCATTGTAAAAAAATATTTAAACAACTTTGGTTTTATAATATGTTCAAAAATATCTGATTCCAAAATTGTAAAAAATTATATCGGGGTGAGATTATTGTTCTCATTCATCTATTTCAGTAACAGATTTATTTTAATATTCTAAACTTTTAACTGTTCTAAGCAGAACGTGATAAATCAGCGCAATAACAAGAACTCTAGCATATTAAGTATTTTTTAAAAATATTTTTATAAAATTGTAAACATAATATTAAGTTATATTAACTATTGTTTAATTTGGCAATACAATACGAAGATAATTATCATACATGAAATGTATTTTAAATATAAACTAATAATTTAATATGCTTGTTCTTAAGTGATTTGTAAGTTAATTGTGAATTATTACTTTCACTGCAATGATTCAAAAAATCAAGATTGAATGTGTTGAATTTTTTATAAGCAAAATGTAAATAAACGTAGAAGTACGAGAGTGAAAAATTATAGATAAATTAAAGTTAATAACATCACAGTGCCAAATAGATTATTCAAGTATATAAAGCTTCTAAAGTAACTTGAATTTTAAAACGAAACTGTTAAAGTAATGGCAATTGCCCTATTTTCCAGTACTTTTAAAATAGAGTAGTCAAGAACATACAACATTGAAACATCGATGTTGAAAAAATAGGAAAGTTCCATGTTGAAATAGCTATTTTAAACTTTGTCATTTCAATACATTCGAACAAATTTATTATACTTCTACAAATATTTTTTTCATGTACAAGTGAATCAGACTCATTCCATTATCAGCCCATGACTCTTTTGATAAAAAATTGCATTATGCAAAAAATATACATTCGTGTAAGATTGTATAGATGCTCGATTAGGCATTAATAACTATATGTTCATGTTTGCTTAAAAATGAGTGTAGAATGAAAATGAGAAAAATAACTTTGAAATATGTTACTGCGAATGTGCTCTCTTTCTTAAGCTCTCTTTACTTTATTTGCTTGGTCAAAACTTAAAATTTTCATTTATTTATTTCAAGTAATACATTTTAATTATCAGTGTTTGTATTTTTGAAAAATTGAGCAATATTTTTATATTGGCAGTGACTTGAAGACGTGTGCCTTTTGACGATATTTACAGTTCTACGATTGCAAAAAATTATATTTTGTGATACAAAGTTGTAACTAATAAAATTATACGTGTATTATCGTTAAAATCATAATTATAAACTCTAAATCTAGGGCTTCCAATTATATATTTGTAAAATTAAAATTTTAAGAATTGTATATTAAATATTTAAGCAGTTGAATTACAGTAGAAGCTTTAAACATAATATGATTCCTTTAATTGTAATGAATAGTTATTTATAAGATAATATCAACTGATGTATAATAGTTATCTGTAGGATGTGAAAAAGACTCGTATTATTCTTATACATATTATTAAAATATAAAAATCAGAATTAAAATAAGCGTACGAGCTTATAAATCAAAATTATTATTCAGTATCAATCATAGGAAATAATTAATAATGTACAATGGAATGACTGTCATATGGTTTATGATATGTAGTACCTCAAAATACAATTATTGCAAATAAAGTTGTATTCATACTGTAAATAACAGCTTTTGAATTTCTTTTAACAATTTCACGAACAATATCTATAATTTAATGTATAATTCTTCCTCCAATCAATTTTTTTTTTTTGAAAAAGTTTGAAGACTTGTAAAAAATTTTTAATTTAACTTGTTCATAACTGTCATTTTTCTATAAAAACGTTTAAGGAATTGATTGGTGTAAGTAAAAAAGTGAGTAGGTATCTACATTTTGAAATTACTGTTGTTCGTGCATTGGTTCCCTCATATTCACTTTTATATAAAATCTTAAATAAGGTTCGAGTTTAAATTTTTTTCAAAATCTACAAGATTTTAGAAAATCATTATCTAGTCTATAAAAAATGTTAAGTAATTTTTATTGTATAAAATTTTTCTGACAGACGATACAATTTGAATTATTAAAGAACGTATGGCATTGGTTATATAACAATAAACAATTAAATGAATAAATCATTTTTAATATGAATCTTGAGTTCTAATGCAAATTTAATATAAATTAATTTTTGAATTTAGCATTTCCAAATGTATTGGAAAAAAGCGTTCTAAATCGTATGTGATCTCTTTATAAAACTGATTAACCTAATTTTCGGTAAGTTATAAATCAACATTTTAATGAGTGTCGATAAAAGAGATACCTTTCTTTATTAGTTACCATATTTGGGCATAGAAACTAAAGTATCAGTTGATGTTTTAGTTGTACGGTATCGACCTCTATTCCAATTGAACAAAACGACAGCAGGTTATGATATTCATTACACAAGCGGTAAATATATGCTATCGTTCTATGACACATTCGCGAATCTTATAGTGTATACCATTTTTTAGTATCATTCGTTGGCAAATGGCCATATTAAAATACTTTTCGACTAGTTTTCAAAGCATACTTTATTTCCACGTCAAAGTTTTAAAATATGTTTTGTCAACAAATATCAATATAAATAAATTTAATGTAATTGAAAAGTAAAAACTAAATAAATATCGAGGATATAAATAAACTTGAAACTCAACTTTTTTATTTTAAGCTTGATATTAATACAGTATAGAATTGAAATTTTCTGCTATTCAATAGGAGGTATTCAATAGGATCAATTTCTAAAAAAATGATCAAAAACATCCTTTTTCTATTCGAAGGAATTTAGAGTAAAAATGGTTGCATTAATTAAATAAAGTAAATCTGACGAAAGATTTGGAGAGAACGATATTCATCGGATATGGTGTTAGCACGTTCATCTTACAATGGATTCGTAAAAAAAATAAGGTATCAAATAAGAAGTCAAAACTACAGTTCCTTAGTTAAAAACGTACTTTCGATGAGATGCATTTTGTTTAGCTATTCCAATATGTTGCCATAAAAAATATGATGTGCAAGCAGTGCATAAAAGCATAAGGCTTTTAATTTTAAGAATACGCTAAAAAAGGATTTTACTTTACACAAAAGTAAAAATTTTCGAAATTAAACATACTGCCTTTTTTATGAGTTTCGAAAATAAAATAAATGTACTTCTACTATCAGGACGTATATGCGATGCGCAAGTACATACGGGAACTGATAAGTTCTACCAATGTATTATACACACAAATGTCTAAGAGGCGGCTTTCTGTGAAAACTTCGGTGTAACTTAAAAGCCAAGACAAACATGGGCGTGTTCAGACTCTTCTTCGAGTTTATGCATATGCTCTGTCTCTATCTTCCTTATACAGATATAGAAATACGGTCATCATATCCGTATACTCCACAGTGAATATGAATGTAACTTGCATATATGATAAGCGGAGAAGTTCGTCAAAGGTGAATGAGTAAAAGCAACGTAAGAATAGGTATTGAAACACTTTTTTACCAATGAAAAATATTAGATCAACACATACTTTGTCATTAAACTGCATAATCTTGTATGAAAATAGATTAGATGTATAGCACAACAAATTATACTGGCAGAATATTCTTTTACCCTTAAACGAAATTAGATAATATCATTTGTGACAAGAACTTATCTACATGCGTATTACTCAAAACTATTCACATAAATGTGTGTATCGTCGCCCAAGAGTAGAAAAGATATTTCTTTAAGCTCATTGGAGCAAAAACGTGCCTAAGCTCTTTGTTCATTTTTGCTTTTGAATTTAAAGAGATACCTTTCTGCTCCAGGGCGATGATATTAAAAGTTAGTTATACGCACATTGTTTTTATGCATGAAAAAATTAAATTATAATGAAGCTTGTAAGGACTTGAAAGTACGAATTATATTGCCGAACTTATAATAAAACAAATGTATCCAAAAAAATGTTATATTAAAGTAAAATTTTGTTTACTTACTGTCTATTATTTTGAACATTCAAAACTTGCACCACACAGATACGAATCGTTCACTACACACTGCATACCTAAAAAAATAAAACATAATGGTTAAGCAATAGCGAAGCCACAAAAAAATTACGTCTCTGGCACTTTAGCCTAAGTACTTATTTATATTTAACATGTTCATTTAGGGCCTTCAACGCCTATTATACATATCATTTGTATCATGGATCAATTAGTAGCATGAGAACACATGAGGTAAAAGGGTAAATTGTACGCTCAGATAATTTTTCTATATAGGTATGTGATCAAAAAACATAATACTATTGAAAAATAGTAAAACAGAATTATAAAGAAAGGAAGGAATGACCGACCAGATTGAAAACCAAGCGACGAAGACGAAGTCAGAGCAACTCAATTATATTTTTCTCAGTTCCTCTGATGCATTTTTCTGATCTTATCATTAAAAAAAGACTTGTTACTTCTTAATCTGTTCTGCACCAGTACACATACAATACAAATGCGGGTAATTTTTGAGCAAATCTTTCACTGTTATTTTTTTCAGATTTACAATAAATTTTAACAAGAACCAGTTGTTTTGTTATTTTTATGCATATACACCTGCCGCGTTAACCCAGTTTATTAAAAAAAATTAAAAATTCAATTGTCATTTAAGTAAATCTATTCTTTCACATTAATTGAAAAACTGTTCCAAACTGACGATAAACACCAAAGATATACTAAGCCCTAAATAAATCATATGTAATAAGGCGAGCTTAATTCTCGACTTTTTAAATAAAATTTTTACTTTCAATAATTTCACCGGATATAAAAGTGAATAAGTGCATATGTGCATGAGAATTGTAGATACTCAATTCTTTTTGAGTCGCAGTCGCACGTATTTGCGAATATATAGAAACGTAGAACACTTTTGTCTCTTTGCAGTTGTGCGTGTCGCAATATTGCACTGACTTACTACGATGCCGCCACCAACATTGTACAGCGTACAGATAGCACCGCACCGCCGCATGCAAATGTTGCTTGCCTCGTCTGTTTGCTAGATTTATGATCCATTACATTGGATGTGATTTGTGCCTTAACAATTTCTACTTCACTAAAAAATGACACACACACGAGTGGTAAATTTTTACAAATAACTACTCTTAAGTTATACAGTTCTCTTAAAACTAGACATGTATGTATTAACTATATTGATGCCTTGATAAACATCGTGTAGATCGATTAATCTATTATTCTACATTGATTTTAATATAGTAGTTGAAATAAACATTCATGAAATATCATAGGGAAAATGTTTGATGATTATATAAGACAAATCAAAAGAAAAGGTACACTTAGCAAAAAATTATATATGAATGAGCGAGGTGCTCGAAGTAGTGCGGCGTGAGAAAGAGAAAGAGATAAAAGCGAAGATGAGAAAGGGTTAAAGGGCGCGTTCTCGCAATATTCACACTCAATGCTGAACACGCTCGTTCTGTACCGCAGACACGAGACAAGGAAGAAAAAGAATGGCAATGTCATATTTGACCATACCTTAGCGTTTAAGCTTCTCTTTCTCTATATGTTATACACATACGGAACATGCTTGCTTATGTCTCCACCCTCTCCCTCCCCCCCTTCATCCTCCTCCTGTCCCTTTTCTCCGTTTTATCCTCTCTTTCTCACTCATGCCTCCGTAAATGATATCTTACGAATGATTTTTTCATACGAAAGGACCATTAGGATCACACGCTTGGGCGCGGGCTCTGTACGTATGTATGCGTTCGCGTTCTTTGGGTGCGTCCGCATATCTCTATGTACGACTCGCTCTCGCGATTTCTCGCCAGTGAACTCTTCGACCAGTGAATTTCTCTCTCTTTCTCTCTCTCGGAGTCTGTGTTGTAGCTGTGAGCTTTGATGTGAGCCGCCGTTGCGGGGGACAGATATTATCATCGCTCCAAAAGAGACCCACCTCCGACCATCTATTCCCTCGCTCGCTCGGCACAAGTCTTGTCCCCTTCCTGTGAGTTTCTTACTGCATGCGTACATATATATACCTGGCAGCATATGCATCAGCCCTTGTCGCCCATATGCCCACTCCCACCTGGTGTATATGATAGCTGTTGTCGAGTGTGGACCATTGTTTGACAACAACCAATATGATGACTTGCCTCATGTCATAACAAAGGGAAACAGATGACGCACACATTATCTGGATGTGCCAATGGCAAATCGCTTTAAAAACTTTTTTATA